ACCCCCCCCACCCACCTGACTACCGCCCCTCCCACCTGACTACCTCTATGTCACTCCTGACCCTTCCCATGCACCGTCCTTTATTTATTCTTTAAACATTTCTCAGAATGAAAAACTTTGCTAAAGCACGAGATAAAAAAGTTTTAAAGCAATTAATTTTTATTTCATTTCCTTGTGATAACAGAAGAATTGAAGAATCATTTAGTTTCATTATGGTTCTCATCAAAATAAAACAAAATGGTTTTTTCATCTTTTCATTTTTATTTTCAAAAAAGGTAAAAACAAAATATCACAAGGCCATTTATTGTTTCCAATTTTTAAACTAAAACTAAATTATAATTTGCTACTATGAAATAAACGTGGAAAGAAAAGTACATAGATACAGGGTGTCCCACGAAACATGGAAGTTGATAAATAGTTTAGAATGTCTTCTTTCATTTTTTTAAGCTGTTTCATACCAAGACAATAATAAAAATATTATATAGGAATCATATTATAGTAGAATTAATTTCAAAGTAAAATATATTAATGAGCAATTGATTTTTTAAACGAAATAAACTCTTTAAGTGTTTAATATACAATACAGTGTATGGAAGACGACATTCCAAACTATTCACCAACTGTTATATTTCGTGGGATACCCTGTCCATAGATACATAAATAGGGTTAAAAAGACGGTCTCTGTTTAGAAAAGAACGTACCTTTGGTTCTAGTTGGTTCAAAAACAGATTTAACAGATAAAAGAGAGGTGGGTCGCCTTAAGAAGTTCGACTTTTGTTAGGGTCGGGGGAGATAAATAGTGCTAACCGGGGTTTCTGCCAAGCATCACCTAAAAGAAAAAAACCATTTTCATTTTAATTGAACTTATAAAAATGTTATTTATCCTAGGTTTACATTTTGAATACATTTTTGCTTTTTAATGTGGATTTTAGTTCTTTTAATAGTTGAACCTCGAACACGCAGTTGAACCACTTCTCGGGTGGTTAATTAAATCTGATCTTCGAAAGGAAAAAACTAATTTTTTTAACATAGGTCAGTGAAGAAGCAGGTCAGACCCTTGCAATACAACTTGGCGCCAGGTACAGGTACAGGTACAGGTACAGAGTCTAAAACTAAAGAATGCGCGAATTTTAAGTTCGAGGTTAAAAGTTCTGTAAAATAATGAATAACTACTTAAATATTAAACTTTCTCATTTTTAAATTTTAATTTCCCGGGAAAAATCTGAACCAATCAGAGAAAAGGATTTACGTAGAATTATTATGTAAGTATCGGTATTCGGTAATCAGCTGTTTTTTAAATTTGAAATTATTTACGTGACGGAAAACAAAACTTTTTTCCAGTTACAACCGTATTTTGGGTTTACGTGCAAACATAAATTAATCTAAAACGTGAAATTCATTAAATCAAGGTTTATTACATCGTAATGAATTGAATGCCGCAATTACCGCTGAATGATGATAGACAAATAATAGGGATTGCGGGATTTCAAGATTTTAACCCTGTGTTTAAATTTTAACTCGTCGATTTGGGCGAGTTAAATATTTAACCATAGGGTTAAATATTTAACCTCACGGTTAAAGTTCAGGTTTAAATTAACTCAGAAGTGGCATTTAACCATGAACTTAAAATTTAAGTCAAAACTTTTCGTTCTTTAGTTTTAGACTCAGGTACAAGTACAAGTATAGGTACAGTTACAGGTACAGGTACAGGTACAGGTACAAGTACAAGTATAGGTACAGTTACAGGTACAGGTACAGGTACAGGTACAGGTACAGGTACAGGTACAGGTACAGGTACAGGTACAGGTACAGGTACAGGTACAGGTACAGGTACAGGTTCTTTGTCAGCAATCAATCTTTGAAATATATACATATATACATATATATATATATATCTTCTTAAAATAAGTCTAGAACATGTTCTATTGTTTATTAAGATTGGTTATTGCTGGACACTGTGTTTCATGTTGGACATTCTTCAGCAGCATCTTATATATATATATATATACTTGATGTCTGTCATTGTGATGAAAATGTCACTAAGAAGGAAATGGGATTTTGATATATTTGATATTTTTCAGATTAAGAAGTTTAACATCGACTTTTTAAAGGGCGTGTCTGGCTAGACATGGTAGTTGAACTGCGAATACAATATTGTAGAGAAATTTTTTTATGCGCTTGCCAAAAAAATTTGCACCGTAAAAACGTCTGATAGGTCTCAAATGAATCTTAAAAATTTTCTCTACAAAATTGCATTCTCAGATCAACTACCATGTCTAGCCAGACACTCCCTTTAAACGCAAATAAAATAAAAATGATAAACTGTTGAAATTCAAAGTTTAAATTTATATTAAAATTCTCCAGGTGGTTTGAAACAAGTAGTTTGACCGGAGTAGGGGTGGAGAACTTGTTTAGGTAATTAATAAAGTGTGTCCCAGTGAACCAAGCTTGTTTTTTATTAAGGTTAATACTCTGGATGCGCTCCTATATTTACGGAAAATGTCGCCTCCATAGCTTAAATAGATAAAATCTACATATGACGTCACTGATTTTAGAGGCGAGAATGACTTCATATGCGGATTCTATCTATCTGTGCTAAACAGACGATATGTTACATACATTGGATCGCATCGAGAGTAAGCAACCTTATCATACAACATTGCAATGATCCAAGATTGCTTATAAAGGTTAGATGATAGATACTCTAAATGCACTCCAATGTACTAGAAAGGTCGTCTTCAAAACAAAGAGGAGGGGGGGGGAGGATTTGCTGAGCTTTTTACAACTGACGATCACGTAGTAAATACTTGCCCTCTCTAACATTTCCCGTACATTGCATCGCACCCACATAGTACAGGAACATAATACATAGGAATTCAGTGACGGATTCGAGATATCGTCATTTCAAATAATTCTTAGATTTAGTATAGTGATACCTACTGCGAAAGCTGTAATCCGTAAGATTTTCGTCCGCTATATATACAATTTGTTTATTTATGTTTTGGCTGCATATGGTTGTACTTAGTAAAACAAGAAAATTACAGTATAAAAACAGAGTTTTCGCTGTTCATATACTTCTTTACAGCCATTTACCGTTTTCATAAAATAAACTCTAGCATTATTATGGTTTTTAAAATTAGGTATTACAATGCTATTTCGTAACAAAGACGATATCGAATTTGTCACTGAATTTCCATGTTTATTGGGACACCCTGTATCTAACCTTACAATGATGTACGACCATGATGATATATTTAAATAAAATACAAAACAATATTCTCTTAATTCTAGAATTTGTCTGTTTTTTATTTTTCAAATAAAACTTAAATATCAACATGTCATAATACAAATTTACAAATTTAGTATTTTGATCGAATGTATTTTATTTTTACAAGAAAAACAATCTTCATTAGCCAGTATAGTGTCTTTCCTTATTTTTGAGTGATCATTAAGATAATTTTCTTATCATTATTATCAGTGTTATCATTATTATCAGTGTTATCATTTTAGTGAAGTATGTTCTGATTTGCTTAATGGGAAGACGACCCATCTGAAGATAGTTTCTGACATGTCGAATACACCTGCACCTGCAAATAAGTAAGTTATAATAATTGTGTATTGAGTAACCTTACAAAGATGGGAGTAAAAGAATATATTCATAATCACTTACGGAATAAGGTGGAATTGAGAGTAAAATTGTTTAAAGTTTGTTGGAATGCTTTTATGAAAATTCAGCAAATTTTTATAATTTTCTTTTTCCGTTTTCCAACAAATATGAAAACTTTGAGCTCAAAATAAATATAAAATAAAACTTTTTTTTAATCCGGGTAGAAAAAACAGAAGATTTTTTTATATAAACAGCGTGGACAGTAGTTAAGTTAATATTTTAATACTAGCCCTAGAGGGCGCTTCGCGCCCATCTTCTAAATTAATTGTGAACATGTTCTCTTTGTGTACATCGTAAAACAAAACAAAAATAATTCGCGGATTTTCACAAAAAATTTCGTGGATTTTCAAAATTTTCAAAAATTTAATGAAGATCCAATTTTGATGGAGACAAATATTTGAAATTTTGATCATTCATAAACCTTCCCTGGGGTCCCTAGATGTCCCACAAAAAATTTGGGCCCGATCGGTTCAGCCGTTTTGACGTTTATTGGATACAAACAAACAAACAGACAAACAAACATACAAGCCAAATTTATATATAGACTAGAAATTCAAGGCGCTTCGCTCCCTTCTTTCTAGGCTTTTAGGGCGCTTCGCGCCCATCTTCTATTTAAATTGTGAACATGTTTTTTTGTTTACATTTTAAAACAAAGAAGAAAAAAATTTGCGGATTTTCGAGAATTTAAATTTTTTTACAAAATTAAAAACCTTTAAAACACATTTTTTTAAATTTTTATCATTCATAAACCTTCCCTGTGGTCACGTGATGTCATACAGAAAAGTTTGGGCCCGATCGGTTCAGCCGTTTTGACGTATACAAACAAACAGACAAGCCAAATTTATATATAGATTGTAAAGCGAAGATATGACTATGATCCTGCATTTAAATCTATCCCTGCCTGGGATATCAAAGGGTGATCAAGTCAATCCGTAGATCTGTAATGCAAGGAGATCATTGATTGATCCCTAGATTCACAACACAAACTTTATGTTTCTCAGGTTTAAATATTTATTTCGATTTGTTTCACATCCTTCTCAATTCTTTACAAAGACAACCATATTAATTGATAAGAAAAGATTTTTTAAGATTTTAAGTAAATTTTTTCAGAAAAAAATGAGATTTAAATTTTTTTTTATATTTCTAGGATTGAGGCGGTGGTAGAGCGAGACAGTGAAGACGGAGGTAAAAAAAGGTATAAAAGATTGATTTATTGAAGAATGTAAAATTATTTTTAAAGTTGTTATCAGGACTGTTTGTTTAGCTTGTAATTTTACAGTTTAATTTCTTATAATTTTAGGAGAAGAAAATCTTTTCTACAGCGGTTCTCTAGCAGGTATATTTTAGAGCGTTTATTTATAGCAAGTTTATTTCTAGATGGCTTATTTCTAGCAGCTATATTTTTAGCCGTTGTATTTTTAGCAAGTTAACTTCTAACAGGTATATTTTTAGAACGTTAATTTCTAGTAAGTGTACTTCTAGCAAGTTTATTTCAGGGAGGTTTATTTCTAGCAGGTATATTTTAAGCAAGTCAACTTCTAGCAGGTTTATTTTTAGAACGATTATTTCTAGTAAGTGTACTTCTAGCAAGTTTATTTCTAGAAGGTTTATTTCTAGCAGGTATATTTTAAGCAGGTGTTTTTTAAGCAAGTTAACTTCTAGCAGGTTTATTTCTAGCAACTATATTTCTAACATTTATATTTCTAGCAGGTATATTTCTAGCCAGTGTATTTTTAGCAAGTTAACTTCTAGCAGGTATATTTCTAACATTTATATTTCTAGCAGGTATATTTCTAACAGTTATATTTATAGCAGGTATATTTCTAACAGTTATATTTTAGGACTAGGGGAATTTTGTGATTATTATCTCTAGAAATTTACTTCTAAAATTAGGTTGACAAAAAAATGCAGCAAATTATATCAAAAATCAAGACGATGTTCAAGTCGTCTTGCATACTGTCATGTTTCGTGGGACACCCTGTACCTGCCTAATATACCTGCCTAGTGTCTAATTATAAGATAATCTTGTTTTTCTTTAAATTTCTTTGTATTTTCCTGGTAAATTGAAAACAGACAACTTTGCCGCATAGTATTCTTAAAAATATATAAATATATATTTATATTACATACTTTGTAAAAAGGAAAATAAATCTTTGCTGACAGATATTATTATTCATAGAGAGAGGGATGGCAAATATTATCTGAATAGAGGAAGGGAGGGCATATAATTTCCAATGGAAGGGAGAAATAGTAAACATTATCCTAGTGAGGGAGGGATGGCAGATACTATCATAGGGGAGGGAGGGATGGCAGATTTTTACAAGGGAATGGAGGAATAGCACATATTATCCTAACGGAGGAAGGGAGGGCAGATACTTATCTAGGGGGAGGGAGGGATGGTAAACACTATTCTAGGGTAGGGAGGGATAGGACAGATACTTTCCAGGAGAAGGATGGCATGGCAAATGCTATCTAAGGGGAAGGAGGGAGGGATGGCAAATAGGCAAATAGGAATGTTGGAGGGCATAAACTATCATTTGAGGTACTCAGAACTTTTCTATGTTCAAGGGGAACTTAAACTTTTTTTTCTGTAAAAGCTTTAACAAGATGTATTTTTTTGTAGAGCTGTATTGAGAGCGGCTAAAGTGAAGAAAGATGAAGACGATGCAAGAAATCGGAAATTTTGGTGTTTTTGATTTTATTTTTAAAATTATTGTAAACTTGCATTTTATGGTCCTTACATATCTGTTATGAGATACGATAAATAGTATCAATCTGGACCCGCATAACGCTGGAGTAGGTTATTTTGATTTTTGGACCAAAATCAGTTAAACAGATTTAAAGAGGTTTATATTGTCCATACGAGTAACTACGAATCATATTCCACAAAAAATTTTTCCCGCTAAAAGCTTGTTTTAACAAAGATTAAAAATTTATCAATTTTTTAAAATATTGTTTTATTCGCCAAACGGTTTTGCAGTTCATTCAGTAGTAAACTGGAATTAGCACAGCACAGTATTTCTGTAGACCATAGTTTGGGAATTTATAGATCAATGTAATTTAATATTTTATGTGATAATTTTTAGATTTATATCAATAAATAATCTTTTTTGAAGTAATAATTCTAGGAAAAGCTAGAAGGGGGTTTTTAGGGTTTTTAAAAATTAATTTTGATTTAAATGTTTATTTTAAGTTAATGTTTCTGTTAAAAAACTGCCAGTTTTTCTTATTTTAACGGTCTTTTTAAAATATATTCTTATTTACGTGTAGATTAATTAATTGTCAATTTAAAATGTTTCTAGAATATTTCTAAATTTCTAAATAGATGATTAGGGCAACATATATCATTTTCTGTTTATTGCAAACTGATCCACAAATAATGAGACTTAAAAGACGACCTTGAATTCTTTAAATCTGAAGATTACATGCATGGTCTTCCGAATAAAGTTTTAAATGCAAAAGAATTGAATTTAATCTTTTCTTGGATATATATAACCCTGCCTATGATGAAAGTTGTAAATTATTATAGTTAGAAAGTATTAAAACTTTCTCAATTTCAAGTCTTTATTATCTAAAAGAAAAATTTTATCGCCATTTAAAATTGTAGTTGAATGTAAGTATGGAAAACAAACTTATATGCATTAAAGTGACTTATGATGTAATTTTAAGTGACCCAACATTGAAAAGAGTGACATGCACAATGGCCATTGCCAAAATACTTCTTTAGACTTTTTAAGTACTTAAAACTATCGAACTAATTGAACTAGCTGAACTAGTTCAACTAGGTCCGAATAGTTGAACCACTATTGACACATGTAACTATCCACTAGTTCAATGACTTCTCACTAATCATAAATTATAAAATAGGACCTCAGCGAGGAGAAAATATTTATCAATAATCAGTCATCCTGGGGATTAAGTCTTTAATCCATAATCCTGTAATCAAGAATGTCAAGGAATTACTTAAGATTATTTACGGATTAAGGTAAATGAAGGTTTTTATTCTATAACCATAAATTTATTTGTTCCGATCGCTAGTGAACAATTTATCTAACCGCTAGTGAACAATTTATCTAACCGCTAGTGAACAATTTATCTAACCGCTAGTGAACAATTTATCTAACCACTAGTGAACAATTTATCCAACCGCCAGTTAACAATTCATATAACCGCTAGTTAACAATCTATTTAACCGCTACTTAACAATTTATCTAACCGCTAGTGAACATTTTATCTAACCGCTAGTGAGCAATTTATCTAACCGCAGTGAACAATTTATCTAACAAACAAATTGAAAAAGGTTAGAACGTTTAGCCTTATATTTATAAAATTATTTTAGCCCCAACATTTTGTTAGCAATTTTGGACAAGATAGTCGTTGTTTTGGATAAGAATTTCGTTATTTTAGACATGATTTTCGTTATTTTGTACAAGATTTTCGTTATTTTGTACAAGATTTTCGTTATTTGTACAAGATTTTCGTCATATTGGACATTATGTTCTTTATTTTGAACAAGATTTTTGTTATATTGGACAGTATGTCGTTATTTTGGACAAAATATTCGTTATTTGGGACAAGTTTTTCGTTATATTGGACAATATGTTTGTTATATTGGACAAGATGTTCGTTATTTTGGACAAGATGTTCGTTATTTTGGACAAGATTTTCGTTATATTGGACAAAATGTTCGTTATTTTGCACATGGTTTTCGTTATTTGAAACAATATAATCGTTATTTTGGACAAGAGTTTCGTTTTATTGGACAAGATTTTCGTTTTACTGGACAATATGTTCGTTATATTAAACATTATGTCAGTATTTTGGACAAGATGTTCTTGATTTCGAGTTTCTTTGGTTAAGATGTAGATTACAGACTTTTTGTTGTCTCTGTGTTTTGAAGGCTAACGTCTAACTCTTAATATATTTTTAGTGTGTTTTAGAGCAGTTAAAATGTTCATAAAATTTATATAGAATTATGAAATATGAAAGATATTTGTAAATTTTTTTTCGATTTTTTAAGTCTATAACACCCTCCCGTCCACCCATGAGTGTCCACAGAAACATTTCAGCCCAATCTTTCCAGCAGTTATATCGGCAACATATATATATGAATGTCTTGTTTTATTATAGAGTTGATTAGTTTATCAGTATCTAAGTGTGCTCTAGTCTCTGTGCTCCAACAATTAATCTGTTTTTAATATATTTTTCCCACAAAATCTCTTATAATAAATGTCAAAGGAAGTTGATGTTAAATTATTTAAGTTGGAGGGAAAAGTTTTTTCCCTCAACTTTACCTGGAAATAAAATATTAACGTGGTGAGTATCACAGGCGCAATTTTCACTCTAAGCTATAGGACCGATTTATATTAAACAACGTCTGATGCTGATCTGTCAGTTTTCATCAATTATGAATGATACACATGGCAAGAACTGTTTACAAAAAGTACAGTAATAACCAGAAAACTGTGGAATAATTGTCGTCTGGGGAGCCGAACTTAAACGCCAAAGCTAACTAGAAAGGGGGAGCCGACTTGAAAGGGAGATCCAATTAGAAAGCCAAATAATTTTTTTTAAAGGGGAAATTGACTTAAGGGGGAGCCAACTGATAAGCCAGAGTCGACTTGAAAGGAGAAGCCGACAGGTACACCAGAGCTAACTTGAAAGGGGGAGCCAACTGATAAGCCAGAGCTGATTTGAAAGGGGGAGCCAGCTGGTAAGCCAGACCTAACTTGAAAGGAGGAGCCAGCTCATAAGAAAGAGCTAACTTGAAAGGAGGAGCCAGCTGATAAGACAGAGCTGACTTTAAAGGGGGAGCCAGCTGATAAGCCAGAGCTGACTTGAAAGGAGGAGCCAGCTGATAAGCCAGAGCTTACTTGAAAGGAGGAGCCAGCTGATAAGCCAGAGCTGACTTGAAAGGGGGAGCCAGCTGATAAGCCAGAGCTAACTTGAAAGGAGGACCCAGCTGTTAAGCCAGAGCTTACTTGAAAGGAGGAGCCAGCTGATGAGCCAGAGCTGACTTGAAAGGGGGAGCCAGCTGATAAGCCAGAGCTTACTTGAAAGGAGGAGCCAGCTGATAAGCTAGAGCTGACTTGAAAGGGGGAGTCAGCTGATAAGCCAGAGCTAACTTGAAAGGAGGAGCCAGCTGATAAGCCAGAGCTAACTTGAGAAAAGGAGCCAGCTGGTAAGCCAGAGCTGACTTGAAATGAGGAGTCAGCTGGTAAGCCAGAGCTGACTTGAAAGGAGGAGCCAGCTGATAAGCCAGAGCTAACTTGAAGGGACGAAAATTTGAAAGGAGGAGCAGAATTTGGAAGAGGAAGCAGAATTAGAAAGGAGGAGCAGAATTTGGAAGAGGGAGAAGAATTTGAAAGAGGGAGCAGAATTTGAAAGAGGGAGCAAAATTTGAAAGAGGGAGCAGAATTTGAAAAAGGGAGCAGAATTTGAAAGAGGGAGCAGAATTTGAAAAAGGGAGCAGAATTTGAAAAAGGGAGCAGAATTTGAAAGAGTGAGCAGAATTTGATAGAGGGAGCAGAATTGGAAAAGGGGAGCAGAATTTGAAAGGGGGAACCGACTGGAAAGCCAGAGACAGCATGGACGGAAGAACTAAAAAAAAAGAAAAAAAGATAAATGTTTCCATTCTCACTTCGTAATCCCTCTGTAAGTGTAAGAATGTTTATCGTTTATTCTTGATATAACTATTAAAGGGATTGTGGACATAATTTGAAGTGACTATCATCTATTTTAGAGATATTCATTTCAGATTCACAATGGTATCATTTGTCTGGTCAAAAATGATAGATTAGTGAAATATCCTTTTTTTCTTGATTTGTTTGAAAAACTTTTTTTTAAATCATAATTTTACTAGTTTGAGCTAAAAATATAGAAGTAAAGGTAGGCATGGGGAGACTTTGGGTTCAAAGGTGCCTTCTTATCTTAACACTTGATAAATATACTTTGCCACAGATTCTATCTTTCTATCCAATTATCTGTATATCTATCTATCTATCTATCTCTATTTATCTATGTCTTTATAAAACTATCTAACTATCTATCTATTCAATGTCTAATTATCAAGTAAGACAGCAAATATAAACTTTCTTATCAGATCCAGAATTGTTTAGGGTTTAATCCTACATTAGCCTCAGCATGGTGCAGTTTACAGGTATACAGGGTTTAAATGTATATATTGACCTATAGGTTTAGAATACAGGGTGTGCCAAACAACATGGGAATTTAATGACGACTTCTAGTTTCGCGTAGGCACTATTTTTCTCAAATTAAAAGATTTGATATTGAAAACTACTAGTCTTAGCAATTCCCAAATGTGGTTTACCATTTGTGCACTTTAAAAATCGGCGGAGATATTCAGAAATCGGTCCAGATTATAAATTATTTGATAACAACGAAATCTGTCAAATGTTTAAAATCTCCGTCAATTTTGAAGCTACAAAGCTAAGGCAGACCACATTTTCAAAAGCTCATAAGACTTTTGGTCTTTATTTTGATACACGCTTTATAATTTATTCACTATTGATAATCGAAGACGATTTTCAAGTCGTCTAATAGTTCCCATGTTTATTGTTTAATTCAGAGCGTTTCCAAGACAATTTTCCAAGGAATGTTTCCAGGACATGCTTCTAGAACATGTTATTAGACATTTTTCAAGGAAATATTTCCAGGACATTTTCCAGGACATGCTTTCTAACTTTTGTGTGGATATTGTTCTAGTCTTGAACGTTTGATATCCAATGTGGGCACTTGATACTAGATTTACAACACAAAAGTTTTAACTTCAGAGCTGGGAACTTTTGAATGGTGGATATTGGGATTAAGACTTGATCCACTCTTTTTCTTAATCTCGAAATTAAATAATGCTTGTTCTCCTCTTGTAATTAATCTCCAGATTAATTAACCGATTAGGATTAAGGATATCCCATTCTAAAGTTTTCAGCATAGGACATTTTTCTATAAATGCTTTTATTCCAGGGCATGCTTTTAACACATGTTTCCAGGATATGATTATATTTCCAGGGAATGCTTTCAACACATGTTTCCAGAATATGATTATATTTCCAGGGCATGCTTTCAGCACATGTTTCCAGGATATGATTATATTTCCAGGGAATGCTTTCAACACATGTTTCCAGAATATGATTATATTTCCAGGGCATGCTTTCAGCACATGTTTCCAGGATCTGATTATATTTCTAGGGAATGCTTTCAGCACATGTTTCCAGGATATGATTATATTTCTAGGGAATGCTTTCAGCACATGTTTCCAGGATATGATTATATTTCTAGGGAATGCTTTCAGCACATGTTTTCAGGATATGATTATATTTCTAGGGAATGCTTTCGGCACATGTTTCCAGGATATGATTTTATTTCTAGGGAATGCTTTCAACACATGTTTCCAGGATATGATTATATTTCTAGGGAATGCTTTCAGCACATGTTTCCAGGATATGATTATATTTCCTGGGAATGCTTTCAGCACATGTTTCCAGGATATAATTATATTTCCAGGGAATGCTTTCAGCACATGTTTTCAGGATATGATTATATTTCCAGGGAATGCTTTCAAAACATGTTTCCAGGATATGATTATATTTCAGGGAATGCTTTCAGCACATGTTTCCAGGATATGATTATATTTCTAGGGAATGCTTTCAGCACATGTTTCCAGGATATGATTATAATTCTAGGGAATGCTTTCGGCACATGTTTCCAGGATATGATTTTATTTCCAGGGAATGCTTTCAACACATGTTTCCAGGATATGATTATATTTCAAGGGAATGCTTTCAGCACATGTTTCCAGGATATGATTATATTTCATAGGGAATGCTTTCAGCACATGTTTTCAGGATATGATTATATTTCTAGGGAATGCTTTCAGCACATGATTCCAGGATATGATTATATTTCATAGGGAATGCTTTCAGCACATGTTTTCAGGATATGATTTTATTTCTAGGGAATGCTTTCAGCACATGTTTCCAGGATATGATTATATTTCCTAGGGAATGCTTTCAGCACATGTTTCCAGGATATGATTATATTTCTAGGGAATGCTTTCAGCACATGTTTCCAGGATATGATTATATTTCCTGGGAATGCTTTCAGCACATGTTTCCAGGATATAATTATATTTCCAGGGAATGTTTTCAGCACATGTTTCCAGGATATGATTATATTTCCAGGGAATGCTTTCAAAACATGTTTCCAGGATATAATTATATTTCCAGGGAATGCTTTCAGCACATGTTTTCAGGATATGATTATATTTCCAGGGAATGCTTTCAAAACATGTTTCCAGGATATGATTATATTTCCAGGGAATGCTTTCAAAACATGTTTCCAGGATATAATTATATTTCCAGGGAATGCTTTCAACACATGTTTCCAGAATATGATTATATTTCCAGGGCATGCTTTCAGCACATGTTTCCAGGATATGATTATAGTTCCAGGGAATGCTTTCAGCACATGTTTCCAGGATATGATTATATTTCCAGGGAATGCTTTCAGCACATGTTTCCAGAATATAATTCTATTTCTAGGGAATGCTTTCAGCACATGTTTCCAGGATATGATTATATTTCCAGGGAATGCTTTCAGCACATGTTTCCAGGATATAATTCTATTTCTAGGGAATGCTTTCAGCACATGTTTCCAGGATATGATTATATTTCCAGGGAATGCTTTCAGCACATGTTTCCAGCATATGATTCTAGTTCCAGGGAATGCTGCACATGTTTTCAAGATATAATTCTATGTCTAGGGCACATGCTTTGTTATTTTTCATATATTTTTTCTAGGAAAATTTACTCGTGTTTCTGCCGAGAACTACGACGAGTTCCTGAAAGCTTTAAATGTTGGATTCATCCTCAGAAAGGTGAATGATTATTTTAGTGCATTCCCATTTTTACGAGAAAAAAAAACATCAAAAGTATAACATCAAAATAAATTTTTTGGAGTTTTTATGAAGAAAACAAGAGTGCGTGCAATCTTTCGTTGTAAAATTCTCAATAAAAAAATACATTTGTTCGTTTAAATTTTTTTCTTTTTAAAGCGTTTAGTTACTTTTTCTATTGAACTAATTGATTAAAATTCAAAAGTGATAAACCCAACGAGGTTATTGTATATAGAGTGATGATGTACGCTAATCCTTTAATAATTGTACAAGCCATATACTCCACTTTCAAAGGTCAAATTAAAGTCAATCTGTATGTTTGTCAGTAAGCTGTCTTAATCGTACACTCAGGCTAATATATACAGCCAGGTAGCTATGTTCCATACCCCCCCCCCCTGGTTAAACCCTTAGGAGCATGTTGCTTGATTGATTCTGTTAATAAATCTATATTAAAGTCATCATTCGAATAAGAAATAAACATAGGAATAATCTTCGCATTTATGTCGTTGTTAAAAAAGGCTTGAATTATTAGGTTAAAAGGTTAAAAATACTTAGTCATTGTTTATATCGTACAATAAAGACGACTTTCGATTTAAATTTTGGGTTTCTATCAAGCTTTTAAATAGCATGATATTGGATAGGAATGTCGTCTTCGTTGTGGTGATATAAACGCCGACCATTGTTTACGGATCTTAAGGATTTTTTTATATTAAAGATCATAGAAGATTTAAAGGCTGTCATCCCCCCTGAAAATTGTCAGTTTTGAGTTTTAACAGTCTGTTTTGTGATACGTTAAAGTACGTGAATAGAAGGAGTCTCTGCTTTCTATTTATTTATTTTTAGATTCCTAGGATTCAAAAGTTCAGAGTTCGTATGAACATTCGTTTAGAATATAAATAAAGTTTCGAAAAGACAATTTTTGTGTTTACTAAGAAGAAGATGACGCGTGGTGTTTCTAGTCAGGTTCTTCATATTAAAAAGGATTCTTTGTGGCATTGTCAGTAACGCGCACGGCAAATGTCTTAACTATATACTTAAAACTAAAGGAGGGTTTCAAACGCAAATTGATTTTACTTGCGCGCAATTGCGGACCCTTTAATTTCCACGCAATACGAGAACAGTTGCGCGCAATTCCGCAAAATTGCGCGCCAAATTCCGCACAACGGAATTCCGATTGGAAACCCTAAACAATTTTCACCGTCTTAGTAAGTGACACTTTTAAGGAAAGAACGCCAACAATGATTCATTAATAAACAATGATTGACTGAGATATCCATTTTTTTCTTCTCTATAATTCTATAAAATCTTAAAAAGGTTGATATTGAGGATGTTGTATTTAAGGCTGCTACAGCATCTACCCCTGTGATGGAGATCACCGAGAGTGATGGAAACTGGTCGATGAAAACTTCAACATCAATGAAGTCTATGGAACTCAAGTTTAAGTAAGAAACTAAAATATCTTGAACTATATCCTTTCTGTAAAATTTGCCCTGATTATAAAATATTTCTCTTGTTACAAATGATCAGCACAAAATGCCGAACTCTGTTTTTCGAAAATAAATTCTTGGATTTAAAATAAATCAAGCTCTCTCTTGAAAGAGAAATGATTTACTCAAATAGATTATCAATTACAATAGGTGGCAACAGAGAAATGGATTAATTAACACAACGTCACAAGTGTTAAATACAACCAAAAAATCGAAATTTTCTCACATTATTTGACGTTTTTCAAGATTAAATAAAAAAGTGTAAAAACACTGTAAGATAAGCACTTTATTCTAAAATTATCACTTTTATTAATAATTTTGTCGGACACAATACTGATTTGACACTTGTGATGTAAGAATACAACTCTACTGAGTGTACAAATACTACGTTGCCATCTATTGTACTTAACAATCTATTTGGATTTACTTATTTCAAGATTATAACACCTTGTGTTATAAATTTATCTTGGGGGGGGGGGGACACTAGATTAAAGGACATTGTTGCGCAGAAAAATTGTCTTACTGTGGTCCTAATTTCAAAAAGTGTGTTGGTTGTTTAGCAATTTTTTTTTTTAAGACTTGGAGAGCCATTCGAGGAGGAGACTAGCGATGGAAGGAAGTGTACAACCACTGTTACTATGGAGGGTAACAAGCTGATCACTGATCAGAAGGCCATAAAAAAGGGAGAAAAAGATGTTAGGGCGGTAAGTTTGATCAAAATCTTCAAAATATTTTTTTGATATAACTATCAATATTCTCCCAAAAGTGTCTCAGCCTTTATTATTGTTTTGTTTTAGGTGAGAGAGTTTTTTGATGATAAACTGATCATTTCTATGACTTGTGACGGAGTTACCTCCACTCAGGTCAGTCTTTTTTGTTTAAAGGGAGTGTTCTCTAATTTATTTAGCTATTTATTTGTTTAAAGGGAGTGTTCACTAATCTATTTTGTTATTTTATTGTTTAAAGGGAGTATTCACTAATCTATTTAGTTAATTTAGTTTAAAGGGAGTGTTAGCTTAACTAATTAGTTGATTTTGTTTAAAGGGAGTGTTCACTAATGTATTTAGTTAATTTTTGTTTTTAAAAAAAACTATGGTTATTTTACTAAACGAACGATTTTTTGAAGCAAACCTTTAAAAAAACGAACGTTTTTTACGAAACCAGCGATCGATTTTTTATCAACTTGCATCAACTATTGCCCCAAATATTTTTTTGGAACAAATAAAAAAAAGTTAAAAATTAAAAAAAGATAGTTTTTTACGGAACCAATGATCGATTTCTTTTGCTGAACGAACGATTTTACTGAACGATCGTTCAATGAGAAAACGAACGAAAAAGATCGAAAATGAACGATAATTATGAGAACAAACAAAACATTTTTTTGATCGATTACTAAAACTAACGAAATGGGTTATCTACGAACGATGAACGAATAAAATGAAAAAGCCGAACGTGTCCATCTCTAATTGTGTATTAACTTATATCCCGTTTCTTTTTAGTGAAAACTCCCTTTATCAAAATTAATGATATTTTATAAAGAAAAATTAATCATAATTGTATTCTAGGTGTACAAGAGGGACTAAGAAATGCTGAAAACGTCCAACGTTTGTACTATCTGACACGTTGTGAAAAAATAAAAGTTTAAATTCTTTATTTTTTTTATTATGTTTATCAAGAATGAAGATTGTATAACATTGTGTAAGTTAGAAAGTTATAAAAATAACAGAGATGAAAAGAATAATATAAAAGTAAACAAATATAAAAACTTAAAGGGACTGTAAGCGCTATTTCAAGTGACCTTCCATGCAAAGATGGCAATACCGGATTCACATGGGTACCCTTAAAAGTGTCGTTTGATTAAGTATGAATTCGATCAATGTTAAAAATTTTGCAAACAGATTTTAAAAAAAATTAATATGCGCTTTTCGACTGCAGAAAAGACATATTGGAATTATTAAAGTTAACCTCTTTTAGCCAATAGGAAAAAGACGACATCTTCCACATTTTAGATCATATAAAGGTTGCAAGGATATCTTTGCGAGTCGGGCATTGGCATCTTTGCACGAAGGTCATTTACAGCTTACTGTGGCTTAGACTAATTTATTTCATTTTTAAATAATACAATTTGACAACAATTCAGAAAACACCAAGAGCATAGAAAAGACACAAGAAGATGAAGTACGACAAAACCTTTATTCTGAAACACAATTGATTATATTGAACCCTGGAACTGAATATCTAACAAGGTTAAAACCACTAGAGGGGTTAGGTTTCTTTATTAACTAGCAGACAGAGAGAGAGAGATGTGGAGTAGGTTAAAGGTTAACCCTTATAGTACAGGAAGGGGGGCGAGTAGATTAAAAGCTAACCCTTATAGGACGGGAGGAGGGGGGGGGGTGGTGACGGTTAATGGTTAACCCTAAGGATAAAGTAGAAGAGAGGGTGTGTTAGGTAGAGATACCTTTATATCAGGGAGGACGGATATGGTTAAAGGTTCACACTTATAGGACAGGAAGAAGGGGGTCGATGAAGTTGGTTAATTGTTAACCATTTTAAAAGCAAACTTCTAGAGAATAACATTTTAAATCGTTTGACCCTTCTCAGATTGTCGTAAAACCTTTTAAAAGTCTAAAAATATTAAAAGTTTCTGTAAAACTAATCTAGTCGTAGATTATTGCTGAAACTGGGTGTTTCTTTCATGCTTGAATGTCTTCAATGTCGCAGTTAAGTTGAAAACTTGCAGGTATTTGCAATGTCAATATGATGCTTTAAAAGTGGAACTCACTCCGATAGATTTAATAATTAAATAATTTTTAATTTATCAATGGGCGCTGCAGGAAATTCACAACAATATAAATTATTAAAAATCGAATTAAGGGAAATATAAACTGACCCGAACTTGATTTCCCCCCGATTAATTCCAGGGAGATGGATGCCCCCCCCCCCTCCACCAATAATCCGAATCTGTTGGGCGTTTAAAGAATTTCGTTTTAAAAGTGGAACTCACTCCGATAGATTTAATAATTAAATAATTTTTAATTCATCAATGGGCGCTGCAGGAAATTCACAACAATATAAATTATTAAAAATCGAATTAAGGGAAATATAAACTGACCCGAACTTGATTTCCCCCCGATTAATTCCAGGCGATGGATGCCCCCCCCCCCCTCCACCAATAATCCGTATCTGTTGGGCGTTTAAAGAATTTCGTTTTGGAGGCGTTTCCGTTTTTAAAAAAATTAGACTTTATAAAGTTGAGGTGTATCCTCTTTTTTCGCGTTTCCAGAAATTTTTGACGCGTTTCCATTAAAAAAAAACTTTTAAACTTTGTTTAGATAAGGTGTTTCCTGTTTTTTTTTTTGGGGGGGGGGGGCGTTTCCAGTTAAAAAAATTATTTAGTTGGGTATTACCTCTTTCTTTTGAGACGAATCCGGAAATTTTTTATGCTTTTCCGTTTTTCAAAAAACCTTATTATAGTGGAGTTGTTTCCTCTTTTTTTAAGGTGTTTCCGTTTTTTAAAATAAGGTTGAAAACTTCATTTAATTGGACGTTTCCAATTGTCAAAAAACCTTCAAAAACTTAATGTCAACTATATAAAGCTTATTCCAATTAGGCCTAATGCTCCATTTCAAGGATGAGAAAGTGTTTCAGAACCCCAACTGTTCAGAACCCCAAATGTTGCACTGTTTCTCCAAATGAAATATAAATAAAATGGTTTGAAATATGTTTCAGTTTAATCGAACTAAGTGGCGAAGTACAGTTAAATGGAAAATAACACTATAAAAAGGCATGTATAAAGAGCGAAATTAAGGCAACAAAATGTGATAACATTTAAAGAGATTGTTGACAGAATGTGATTACATATAAAGAGATTTTTGATAAAATGTGATAACAATTAAAAAGATTTTTGACAAAATGTGATTACAATTAAAGAGACTTTTGACAGAATGTGATTACATTTAAGGAGACTTTTGACAAAATGTGATTACAATTAAAGAGACTTTTGACAGAATGTGATTACATTTAAAGAGACTTTTGACAAAATGTGATTACATTTAAAGAGATTGTTGACAAAATGTGATTACAATCAAAGAGATTTTTGACAAAATGTGATTACATATAAAAGAGACTTTTGACAAAATTTGATTACATTTAAAGAGATTTTTGACAAAATGTGATTACAATCAAAGAGATTTTTGACAAAATGTGATTACATAAAAAAAGAATGTTGACATAATTTGATTACATATAAAGAGATTGTTGGCAAAATATGATTACATATAAAGAGATGGTTGACAAAATGTGATAATTAAATATACTGTTGACAAAGTGTGAAAATAATTACAGAGACTGTTGAAAAACTGTGATTATAGTTAAAGAGATTGTTGACAAAATGTCATTACAATTTAAGAGATTGTTGACAAAATGTGATTACAATTAAAGAGACTGTTAACAAAATGTGATAACAGTTATAGAGACTGTTGAAAAATGTGATTTCAATTAAAGAGAATGTTGACAAAATGTGATTACATATAAAGAGGTTGTTGAAAAAATGTGATAACAGTTATAGAGACTGTTGAAAAATGTGATTTCAATTAAAGAGAATGTTGATAAAATGTGATTACATGTAAAGAGGTTGTTGACAAAATGTGATAACAGTTATAGAGACTGTTGAAAAATGTGATTTCAATTAAAGAGAATGTTGATAAAATGTGATTACATGTAAAGAGGTTGTTGACAAAATGTGATAACAATTAAAGAGACTGATTGTGATTACAGAGACAAATTGTGAGTGCAAATACATTGTGCGAAATGAGATTAAATTTATTGATCAAGTTTGAGGGAATTTTCGCAAAATGGGATTTAATGTAAAAGGACATAATGTACAGTGTAGAATATAATTATTATACATTGCTCGTTGATAAATGTAATTTAAGGGGCTTATCTCATTTCATTCACGATAGGAAGGTTCAGTTCAAACCAAAACTAAAACAATTCTAAAAAAAGAAAGAATTTATTTTTCCTTAAAAGTTATAAGATTAATTTATGATTTTCTCCAAACCTAAAATCGTAAATAAAATAATATCTAGATCATGTTCAGCTGAAAATACAACCGAGTGAAAAAGAATGTTTTAACGAAAAATTAGCTATACAGAACTTTCCTCTAAATAACTTTTTAATTAACATAAGAACCCTCGGGAAACTTCACATTTGTAAGAATAATAAAATTCGCAAAAAAAAACGCGAAAAAGTATGGAAGTAATTTAGTTTCAATAATACTATAACTAAAAGTATATAGTCAGCAGGACTCAGTCCCGAAGATGGATAGGATTGGCTCGAACCGTGCATCCTGATCAACACTGCTATGGTCGGCAGCTCCCAGCTTATCATGGCCCACAACTGGTTTATCAAAAACCCAAAACTCCAAACTCATTAGAAGAAAATTATAGTTGTGCAACTATGTCGGTCGATATTTTTCAAGTTCTATAAATCTTTAGTTTTATCCTGGATGTAATAAATATGTTGAAGAAAATTAACTGCAAAATAGATAACAATGTTTATCAATTGATAATATTTTAACAGCCTCAATAATTGAGCAAAGTGTGTAGACTTCTGAAATAAAATAATATATATTAATTTTTTTAAACTCTTAAAAGGGTGTTTTTGTGTATTTTGTACAAATAAATTTGAGAGCGAAGAGAAAAAAGGCCATGATGAATCTGATTTCAGACGTTTACAATACAATATGTTTACGCCGGATTATCTAATATCCTTGAATTGAATAATTTCTAACTATATTATAACTATAATGACTAGCTATTAGAATTTACTAAGATCTATGTTTTTTCCAACAACCTATATTCAACAGAAAGTATTACTATCTAAAAAAATTCTTATGAAAGTAAAACCAGTGCTTTGCTTTGAATCCAGTTTTACCCTTAAAATGAAACCCGGTTTCTGGGATAATAAATTTTAAATTTCTCCTTCTGATTTTTTTTACATCGTTTGAGGTTTCCAAAATTGTGGTCTTTCTCGTATATAATTTATCTTTAAAATTAACGGAAATATTAAACATTTAAAAGTTTTGTTGTTCTTAAATAAACTGGAATTTGGATAAAATTTCATAAATATCTCCGTCAATTTTGAAGGTGCAAAGGAGAACATTTTGGAAATCCCAAGACTAGCAGTTTTTGTTGTTGTTAGATGTTTTAACTATGATAAATTCTGTTTACGAAATTATGCCGCGTGAAACAAAGACGATCTAAAGATATAAAAGTTTGCACTTAATCCCCATGTTTACTAGGACACTCTGTATCAAAAATTGGGAATCCAAAAAATCGGAGAAAAGTGACCCAGGAACATTCCAGGTAGGGTTTCATTTTTAGACTAATAATAGTTCAATGAAAAGCACTCTGCTTCATTCTTTGTATGATCCGAACCGGTGTACATCATGTACTGTACATGCATTCACTCGTACTGACCAGGCTAAACTACCATGTCGACCCAGCACGTGTAGGGCTGGCAAGATATTTGTGAATTGTTAACGTTTTCTTTAAAAACTGTTTAAAAGTTTAAAATCTAGATAATATTTCTGTTCCTGTGTTCAGGGTCCGAACCATTTCCTTGTTGTATGGTCCATGGCTGTATGGACCAGGTTATCAATAGGATGAACTATAAACGGTATAGCACCCAGACCAAGCCCGGTCACGGCCCATTTTCTAAAAAATAAAAGGATTTAAAGATACAGGCACGATTAAAATGAAAACTTTAACAATAAAAGTAAATAGTTACTGGGACATAAAAGGATAAAATAAGCCATTATTATCATTAGCAATCAAACTACAGACAAAGTACAACGACCTGTTGGTAGAAATACAATGAAGATACAACCCCTCTCACAAACCCATCCACAACAAATGTTTTACCACAAAGTTAAAGTGCGCAAAGGAACTTTTTTAGTGTGTGAATTGTTTTCTTTAAAGGATAGCAAACCGGTACTCTTGAAAACTCAATCTGATAAGTTATGAGGAAAATAGCGTAGTTTTCTGACTTTAAAAAGGGCTCAAATCCGATAATTTCTCCATTATTTCTCAAAAATGCTCAAGTCACTTTGGCAAAACAAAGTTCCACAAAGAAAAAAATACAATTTTCAAAAATTACAAAATAAATATCAATTTCATATTTGACCTGACAAAACGTTCAGGGTATCATTCATGTAGTTCACTTAAAATTACATGTACAGTCCCTTAAAACCAAATTTTCATCCAAACTAACAATGGAGTAAACCTTTTTTTGTCCGAGGTAAAACAAAATACACATATTTTTATAAATTCTATTCACGAGAAGTAGGAAACATTTCCTCATATATTTTTTAAAAACCTTTTACTTAACGTAAAAGTACCCTGGATTCAATCAAATATTAGGTGGTAACAATAAAGGATGTACATTGTAAAATGCATTACAGCTTTATGTGAACAAATATAAAAGACCAAGTGTTGAACTAGAGCCTTTCTTTACCGAGACAGGAAAACTTTTCTAAAGTTATATATACAATTTGTCAGATGTCACCTTGAATTTTCCATCCCAGCGTGGTCACCCTGGTCACAATGTGACATTGATATCCTGGAACGAGTTCAAAAGCGTGCTGTAAGCCTAATAACAGGACTGAAGGGAAATTCTTACTTGGAGAAACTACAGGAGTTGGGTCTTATGTCACTGTAACAAAGAAGGTCAAGGTTTGACCTCCTGCAAACCTTCAAGATCATAAAAGGCTTCGACAACGTAAACAGAGATATTTGGGTTAATTTAGTTGGTCCAGATAACCCACGACCAACAAGACTGACCTCCAATCAATACAACATAATCCCTAAACGCTCAAGGACAGATCCGAGATTACACTTCTTCTCTAATAGGGTTGTTAACTCTTGGAATGCTCTCCCAGCTGAGGTTAAGGATGCCAGTTCATAATTTTCGTTGTATGAAAAACTATTTTGACCTGGAACAATTACGGAGGCAAAAGCCTGCCATACTAAAGTATCCATTGCTGCAATTCCAACATTTTTAGCATCAGCACCTTCCTAGAAAATAACATTTAAAATTCGGTGATGTGATGGACCAAACCTCTGTAGAGTAAAAAAAAAAGTAGATGTTAGTTCAACAAAAAAGATTTAAAAACAAAAATTTGGCTGTCAAATGGACATAAGGGAAACTATCTCAGATTATGAGATGGAAAAAAGATAATTTGCGAATATAACAATTAATTATCCAAAGTACGAACTGAAAAGTTTGTTAGAAAAAAATTAAATATCTGAAGTCCTGTTTTAGGATGCAAGTTCTGATTTTACAAGAATTGTTAAATACACGATTAAACAACTTATATGTTGAATAAAGGATTCGATAATCTACTGAAATGATAAATATGCTATGTATGGAGTAATCATTAACGAGGTAGGATTCTACCTGTTTCACTTTGAGACCTTGTAACCCATCTAGCTTTTAATTTTTTTTAAAGTAAGAAGTTCAAGCTGTCTAAATACATTTATATAATTTTTTTCTTTAGAAATTCAGAAATATATTTAATTAAGAATTCGATCCTAAATGAATTTAAATTTAATCAAAAAGTTTTATTCAGGTTTAATACTAATTAGGTAGATTGATTTAAAAAAAATTAACAAGAAGAATAAAATGCAGATAGAAGAGTTTCTGCAGAATTCCACGTCATAGAATTAAAAAAATTATCAAGAAGAAAACTTATGGTTAAGATTCAAGATTCACTTTCTACTTTATCTTAAGATTTAATTAATCATTAGGAGATTGCCAAGTAACCGAGCACTAAATTTATAGATTTAAGAATTAAAGCTAATTTACCCAGTGATCATAAAATGGAGGGTCTTTGTAGGTCAATTGGCTATTCTACGTATATAATGATGCTATTCGCTCATCAATCTAATAAAGCTCATGGCTCATATATAAACTTGTATAACTGTGAAGTTATAATCAGAGCAGGTTCTCAGGTGTTCATATTTTTTAACAAAAATTGTTAAAACACATGGATAATTAATTATTTGTATAATTATGCTTGCTATAACTGGCCAAACGGCTGGACCAAATGGGCTGACATTTATTTTAAGGAACCCATGGGTACTCTGGGGATTACATAGACTTAAAAAAAAAACTAAAACTAAAACACAATAATTTTTTTCTTCTTCAAACATCATTTTTTTCTCTTTCAAAATTTCAATTTTTAATTCGATTTTCATTTTATTTATTTATATCTATATATAAATTTGACTTGTCTGTCTGGGTGTCTGTTTGTTTGTTTTTATCCAATAAACGTCAAAACGGTTGAACCGATCGGGCCCAAATTTTTTGTGGGACCTCACGTGACCCCAGGGAAGGTTTATGAATGATCAAAATTTTAAAAATTTATGTTTTAAAGTATTTTATTTTTGAGAAATTTTGAAAATGCGCAAAAAAATATTATGAAATCCGCAAACTTTTTTTGTTTTTGTTTTATAATGTACAAAGAGAAGATGTTCAGAGATAAAGCCACAATTAAAAGCTGAAATAGAAGATGGGCGCGAAGCACCCTAAAAGCCTAGTGAATATATATTTGTAAGGTATTGCTGACTTAACGGCTAGACCCAATCAGCTGATCAGTTTTCAGGAACCCCATGGGTACCCTGGAAATGACAAAGGCTATATTTTTTTTCTTCAAAATTAAATCTATTTTCAGTTTTTTAGAATTTCACGGGCAAAGCAGGGCACTACAGCTAGAGAGTTGCTACTTACAAAGGTCTTTAATATTTACCTTAAGAGCTTTCCCTGTTTTATCCTGAGTATCCGCTATTTATATCCACTATATATACCTTAAGAGCTTTCCCTGCTTTATCCTGAGTATCCGCTAGTACATATCCACTATATATACCTTTAGAGCTTTCCCTGCTCTATCCTGAGTATACGCTAGTACATATCCACTATATATACCTTTACAGCTTTCCCTGCTTTATCCTAAGTATCCGCTAGTACATATCCACTATATATACCTTTAGAGCTTTCCCTGCTCTATCCTGAGAATCCGCTAGTACATATCAACTATATATACCTTTAGAGCTTTCCCTGCTTTATCCTGAGTAGCCGCTAGTACATATCCACTATAAATACATGTAGAGCTTTCCCTGCTTTATCCTGTGTATCCGCTAGTACATATCCACTATATATACCTTAAGAGCTTTCCCAGCTTTATCCTGAGTATCCGCTAGTACATATCCACAATATATACATTTAGAGCTTTCCCTGCTCTATCCTGAGTATCCGCTAGTACATATCCACTATATATACATTTAGAGCTTTCCCTGCTTTATCCTGAGTATCCGCTAGTACATATCCACAATATATACACTTAGAGCTTTCCCTGCTCTATCCTGAGTATCCGCTAGTACATATCCACTAGCAACTATATACCTTTAGAGCTTTCCCTGTTTTATCCTGAGTATCCGTTAGTACATATCCACTAGCAACTATTTACCTTTAGAGCTTTCCCTGCTTTATCCTGAGTATCCACTCGTACATATCCACTTTATACACCTTTAGAGCTTTCCCTGCTCTATCCTGAGTATCCGCTAGTACATATCCACTAGCAACTATTTGCCTTTAGAGCTTTCCCTGCTTTATCCTGAGTATCCGCTCGTACATATCCACTATATACACCTTTAGAGCTTTCCCTGCTCTATCCTGAGTATCCGCTAGTACATATCCACTAGCAACTATTTACCTTTAGAGCTTTCCCTGCTTTATCCTGAGTATCCGCTAGTACATATCCACTAGCAACTACATAGCTTAGCTTAACCCATCTAAACAGTATTCAAAATAAAAATAAGAAAAAAAAACAGAAAATAAGAAAAGTAATGTTAATAATAATAATAATACAATTTCCTGACATAAACTAGGGCTCTGAATACATTACCTGACATGAACTAGGGCTCTGAATACAATTACCTGACATGAACTAGGGCTCTGAATACATTTACCTGACATGAGCTAGGGCTCTGAATACAATTACCTGACATAAACTAGGGCTCTGAATGCTATTACCTGACATGAACTAGGGCTCTGAATGCTTCCCCAACCTCGTTTGCGTATCCCAGAAGTCGTACAGGGGTATCCCTGTAGATATCGACAGCTGTACCTTCATCTTCACCCATCTGGAAAATGAACACTGTACACCTGTTGTACAGTACTTTAACTTACACTATATCAGATCACATGTTAATTTTAAGATATTACAATAATCGCACAAATATTTACTAAGTTTTACAACTGGTTGTTAAACATAATGTTTTCAATACAAATTTCATACAATTTCTTAAATAAAAATTGCAAGCAACCCCCAAAAAACTTAACACTTTAAAAGTGGTTTCTGTAAAAGCGTGTATTCCCATAGGACAATTTTTAAATGGATTTTGTAAAGAAGTTCTCTGGGACTGAAACAAACTGTTAAGTTTCATCTCTAAAGAAATAGATACTTCAGTTGGTATAGTGTCATCTCTAAAGAATTAGGCACTTCAGTTGGTATAGTGTCATCTCTCTAGAATTAGTTACTTCAGTTGGTATAGTGTCATCTCTCTAGAATTAGATACTTCAGTTGGTATAGTGTCATCTCTCTAGAATTAGATACTTCAGTTGTTATAGTGTCATCTCTCTAGAATTAGATACTTCAGTCGGTATAGGGTCATCTCTCTAGAATTGAGCACAGTTAATATAGTGTCATCTCTCTAGAATTAGGCACAGTTAATATAGTGTCATCTCTCTAGAATTAGATACTTCAGTTGGTATAGTGTCATCTCTCTAGAATTAGATACTTCAGTTGGTATAGTGTCATCTCTCTAGAATTAGATACTTCAGTTGGTATAGTGTTATCTCTCTAGAATAAGATACTTCAGTCGGTATAGTGTCATCTCTCTAGAATTACGCACATCAGACATTTTTCTTGTTACTTCAGCTGTTATGGTGTCAAAGAAACTTGAGTAGACATGATGAAAACTATTTCAAATATTGTGAATTTTAGTTAGTTGGTTTGTTGTTTTCTAAGTGCTGTATCATGAACCTTTCATTCGAATTAGTCATTATATAAAGCAAGAATAAAATGATAAAGGGACTGTATAGGAAAAATGGAAGAGGTATAGGCTGAAAGCTAATCATTTTAGCTCTTGATTGCGACCCATGAAACGTCTATCTGAAGTTCCTGTCTCGAGAAATTGAAAAAAACTGTGCCAAATTTATAAGAAAATTCATATTTACAAATAGTAAGTTTAAACAGATCTTATTCAGCAAATATGCAACCAATCTGAAAACGAAGATATTCCAGAGGAAGCTAATTGTAACTTAAGTTTACTCCAATTATCATTTTATAATCTATTTTTTATATTTTATCGATAAAATTTTTAATATTATTTATATGTCCGTATTACGTCACAAGAACTCCATTCAATGAGAGTGCCGTATACTGGTCACATGATAAAGACAGAGACATGTGACCAGTATACTGCATTCTTATTGCATGGAGTTCTTGTGACGTAATACGTACCTATAAATAATATTAACAATTATTACTGTAAAAAAAAAAATTTATAAAACAATAATTGGAGAACACCTAAGTTACAAATAGACTTCTCTGGGATATCTTCTTTTTCAGATTGGTTCCGTATTTGCTGAATATGATCTGTTTAAACCGACCATTTCTATACAAAATTGTTTAAATATGAATTTTCGTATAAAATTGACACAGTTTTATATCAATTTCTTGAGACAGGAATTTCAGATAGACGTTTGATTGGGTCGCAATCAAGAGCTAAAGTGATTAGCTTTCAGCCTATACCTTTTTTCATTTTTCCTTTACAGTCCCTTTAAATATGAAGTAAAATATCCCCCCCCCCCCCTCCATCTCCTTGTAAACACTTCTATTTTTGTTAAAATATTTCTTCTTATCTAAATTATTCCCCTCTTCCCCCCCCAAAAAAAAATCTTTAAAAAGGTGCAGTTAATTCTACAGCATTCTATATTAAATTTAATTGAGGTCGAAAGTAATTAATAAGGAAAATACAAAGGAAAAAAAATAGAATGAAAAGGCTGTTAACAATCCTATTGTATTTCTTTATAAAGACATAGAATTCAAAATAAAATTGAATTAAGAAAAATAGACAGTGTGGCGCCCCTGGATTCCTGGAATGCAGTACACAGCATATTCCATACTTCACATGTTATTGTTTAGATTATGATATACTGCATCTAGTATAAATACTGTTTTTGATAAATATATATTCAGTCAGTTTATTTGGTCTTATTCATTTGGTCTTATTCCTTTCGTCGCTACAACAGGATAAAATTCACAAAAAGGTAACTAAAATGCTGATAAAAAAATCAGAGAATGCCATTTAAACTCTTTACTCGTTTTTAACAATCGGGATAATTAAAATGTAAATTTTCCTCGGTACGGATCTAGTTTAGAATATAGAGCTCGGCTCAACACAAAATACTTTAAAATAGGAATAACCAGTTATACAGTGAGAACCAGAAAACTCTGGAATAGGAAGACGACATTAAAGCAATAATTAAGTATCATTGATGCTGTTCCAACGAAGCTATAGTTAAATATGACTATTTAAATCTTAACTTAAGTCTGAAAGTCGTCTTTCTATTCCACAGTTTTTGGTTTTCACAACACACAGGCAGAAAAAAAAGAACATGAGGGAATGGGGGAGATAATTAATACCCAACAAATTTGATTCAATAGTTATAGACTGAATGTATAGTAAAGGTAAGTACGTATTTAGAAAACTCGGAAAAAAAAGCGGTTGAAACATGATTCCGAAAAATAAATGCATACAAAGAAACACATAAAATAATCAAGAATGATTAAAATATCCTATTTTTTTCTCTGAAAATTGGATATTTTCAACTTGGTACTTAAAATGAATAAAATTGTTAGACTTAAGAATTGAAAAGAGAGTTACTTGAAATTCCGTCTACAGTCCCTTTAAGCTGATGCGGGGTGGTTCTTCAGGGATATATATATATAAAGGATATAAAGAAACTAAATATTACCCAGGGAACTATTCACAACATTGTTCATTGACAATAAACACACTGCTCAGGTTTACCCTGATTACTTTTTTCCTTTCTTTCAAATTAAATGTTGACATAAATATTTAAAATTTAAAAACTAGTTATCTAAATACATTCTATAACTTGGATAAACTGACCCAAAAGGAACAGCTGTTTCGCCTTCTAACTTGAAAACATAACTATAGACTAAAGAACCCCCCCCCCCCCATCTCCCATTATTTCCTAAGCATAAGAATAAGAAAAAGAAAAGAAAGCGCTGCTGACACGGCGTGAGAAGTTTAGAACAATAAATTTCTAGTTTTGTTACAGCTGTATAATAGAGGGGGGGGGGAGGTATTTTACAGGAATTATTTTTAAAACTTTTGCCCTTCTGTCTCATATACTACTAGTTTTGATTGAAGCCCTTTAGACACAGCACAGGTAGCATAGAAAAATCACTGAAAAGTTCATTCGCACCGCAACGTTTAAGTAAAATAGCACAATGGGCCTAACGAACGAAAATATTTGTATTTCCATATTTACTGTTCCAGCTGATGTATGATTTTACTGAAGGAGTATGAAAAATAAGGGAGATAAAACTGACGCAGACCGCCCTACCATGATTATACATGCTTTGCAGACGGGTACTCCACTTGAATAAGAAATATTCAGAATAGGTTATTGTACATGCGGTAATTGTACATCAGACAATTATTTCTAATACAAATGGAGTACCGTCTTCAAAGCATGTATAATCATATGGTAGGGCGGGCCGCGTCAATTATATCTCCCTTCTATTAATACTCCTTGATTTTTCTACATTCAAAGAGTTCAAGAAAAAGATTAAATTTAACCAAAATTTCAAAGATTAAAGATGATATTAAATTCTAAAGGATTAAATTTCTTTAAAGTAGTTGAAAACACTTAAAAATGAGAATTGTTCAAGCAATACATTTTCCTTAAATTGTTTTCCTTACTAGATAATAGGGTGGTGTATTTTTCAACCTACGCAAATTCGCTATACTCCATTTCTGACCTACGCCAAAACCGCTTTACTGCAAATCCAACCTACTAGCACGTGGTTTTACAGCTGCTACATGGACTTGTGGCCGCAGCGCCCGGCCCCCTAGCATGTCCTAACCGCGGCGCTGGGCCCCATATCCTATCCTGTCCTAGCCGCAGAGCTCGGCCCAGAAATTGTCCTAACCTAACCCTCAAATAATACAAAAATAAACAGCTGACGTAGATCCGATATTGCAGTAGGTCGGAAATTCAGTAGGGGGGATGTTGCGTATAGACGATGTAACATTACCAGATATTAGCTTATATGTTTAGTCCCCTGCCCTTTAAGAAAAAGAAACAGTAGACTAGAGGCAGCATCAATTTTGGAACTGAGCCAACCGCCCGCCGAGGGTTTGTGCATTTAGAACTACAAAAATCGCATTAAAAAAATTTCCAAATCGTCCAAATAATCCTGATCAGACGATTTAGTATCAAGGAAATTGATACATTGCGGCCCAAAATATAAAAGTTTCAAGATAAACTGCATTTTCTTGGAACATTTTATGCTGAATTGTAATTCGAGTTTTAGGGCTCCATGGCTTATTTAATCTATAATTTTATCAAAATTCGTTTTAAATTCGAATTGAGCATAACATTTCTAAACACCGCTTTACCATTTCTTTTTAAAAATATTTTTTTGAGAGGCCTATGTTTTGATTTCTCTGAAATAAAATTTTCGGATAAAGTTTTAATTCACAAACCCACGGTGGGCGGTTGGCTGACCATCCATTTAAAGAGTGGGATTTTCTGTTTACAGAGGTACCCTTAATTAATATTTAAATGATCAAAAGTAAATTGCAGATACCTGCTTAAAAACTCTGTCATTCAACACTTTTGTTTGTTTGTTACGAATCTTCATGTCAAAAACAATCTCAAGAACTGACTAGGGTCAACCCAGACCGAAATATGTTTTCAATAAACTGTGAAACTAACATCTACTTTATTTACTTTATAGAGATTTGGTTCATCACCATCACCTAATTTAAAGATATCTTTCATATTATTGATCACATAGAGGTTAAAGGGTTACCGTTAAAAATCGGACATGCCACTTTTATAATGGAGGGTTCGCACTTGAAATTAGAATTTTCAAGGGACAAACAGAATTGGGATGAAAACCTCTTAAAAGATAAACAAACTGAACAAAACTATTTTAATCGATTTCGCAGAAACTCGTGAAAACATTATTTTTCGAGAGTGGAAATATTTTTATAGAAAAAAAACATTATTTCATAAAGAGTCACAAACGAAAGCTTTGCTTTTTGAAAACAATTCACATTATAAAATTTATAATGAACTATAATAGGATTCTAAACATACTTTTATGTTTGCGTCTCATTTGTTTCATAATAATTACGATTTTTCTTAATCTATAAAAATATATGGAAAATAAAAGCAGCGGTTAAAACGTTTGTATTGTTAATCTCGTCAAAAAGATTAAATTAATCCTCTTAGATAACAATGACGTTGCGTATTAAGTTCTAAATCCCCAAATCTAAAATTTTACTCAGTGAATACCAATATCAATAGTTATGTATTAAGACATTTTTTCGCTCAAAATGTTTGACCTCGCGATATTTTTCTTCTTTTTCATTCTATTTAGAATTTGCAACAGGTAAATTTAAATATACATAAATGTAAAGATTTAAAATTCCCTTATTCGAGGGGCTTCATAACAAATTCAAATTTCCTAGAGAAATAATGGAGTTTTCCATTTCCTGATTGTTTTCCGATGTATGGGGCTGAGTTAGTTTATTGAATACATCCTGTGGAGAAATTGATTGATGGATTCTGCATAGATGGATACTGATCTATTCAATGGATTCTGGATAGATTGATACTGATCTATTGAATGGATTCTGGATAGATGGATACTGATCTATTGAATGGATTCTGGATAGATTGATACTGATCTATTGAATTGATTCTGGATAGATTGATACTGATCTATTGAATGGATTCTGGATAGATTGATACTGATTTATTGAATGGATTCTGGATAGATGGATACTGATCTATTGAATGGATTCTGGATAGATAGATCTGATCTATTGAATGGATTCTGGATAGATTGATACTGATCTATTGAATGGATTCTGGATACATTGATACTGATCTATTGAATGGATTCTGGATAGATAGATACTGATCTAATGAATGGATTCTGGATAGATTGATACTGATCTATTGAATGGATTCTGGATAAACTGAAATATTGATGGAGTAGTTTCTATCTCGACTAACAGTGAGAACTAGAGGAGTATCTCTTCCTTCAAGAATCTTGTAAACATCCCTAAACAAAATATATTTAAGTCAACCCTTATGCGAGGGGAGGAAGGCCAACCACAACAATACCTCATCCGAGGCACATTCTTCTTATTTTCTAGTCCGAGGAACCTCGAAATCCACGTTATGTCCAACCCTTGCAGCTAAAGATATTTTTAAAAAATCTGGCGGCAAAAGGGCAAAAAAAAAACTAAATTTTCCCAAATTATTTTTGCATTTGTCAAAAATTAATATTCTCCATAAGCGATGTATCTCTATTAGTGGGAAGGACGAGAATTTCGAGGAGGCTCGGACGAGAAATTGTTGTGGTTGGCCTTTCTCCCCTCCCTAGCCAAATTTAACAATCCACATTTACCCCTGAGGGCATAAAAATGTTTTTATCTTAAAAATAACATTACTAGATTTAACCATATGGAACAATGTCCAATTATCTTAATGAGGCCCTTCTGTTTAAATAATAATTTGTTGGTATTCTTTGAAATTTTGATTAGCATTATCAAATTAATTGCATTCATTTAGCATTTCATGAATAAATGAATAGTTAACAATAAAAGCAGGGATATCAATTTACAAATAACAACTTAATTAAAGAATGAAGTTCAGAGAATGTTTTAATGATTACCAGAACAAATTGGCAACACATTCACCCCCTTCCCACACTTTAAATACCTGGGGGGGGGGGGGTTCTCTACTGTATATTCACATGAATATCATGAATATCTACAAATATGTCAACCATGCCTTAAATCCCGGGTTTGGACACTTGAAGTGTATGCCCGATCAACAGCGGTACCCTTGTATTCAGGAGCAGAAAATGCGCAAGCAAGAAACTAATGAAATTATCAGTTTTAAAAAACAAAAACATGCATATCTATTATCTACTTCATTCGTGATCAGAAACAACTTTCAAGGGTCCGGTTGTGAATCTAACATGCCAATCTATAAAAGGAAGGGCCAATTTTAATTATGTTTACAGTCCCTTAATGATTAACAGATGTAAATGTGTTCCAACCTGCTTCCGTGAATAGGTTTCCCGTTGATATGAGTGACAATATCTCCAGGACGAACTCCTGCTCTATCAGCAGGGGATCCTACAACCAACCTAGACAGAACATAAACTAGATTTAATCAGATTAAGCTGTATTTAACCAGATTAAACTGTATTTAACTATCTTTAACTGTTTTAAACTAGCTTTAACTGTTTTTAACTAGCTTTAACTGTATTTAACCAGATCAAACTGTATTTAACCAGATCAAACTGGATTTAACCAGCGAAAACAGGATTTTATCAGCTTAAACGGGATTTTATCAGCATACACTGGATTTCACTAGCCTTCACTAGACTTAACCAGCTTAAACTGGATTTATCCAGTTAAAACTGGATTTATCCAGTTAAAACTGGATTTATCCAGTTGATCCTGGATTGAAGCAGTTTGAACTGGATTTAACCAGCTTAAAACTGTATTTGACCCGAAAAAAACTGTATTTAACTAGCCTTAATGAATTCTCACCTGTAGTTGAGTATACCATGAGAATCTTTTAAATGAATTCTCACCTGTATATGAGTATACCATGATAATCTTAAATGAATTCTCACCTGTATATGAGTATACCATGAGAAACTGAACTAGGTATATTGGTTCTATTTCTAAGCTCTTCTGTAAAACATTCATAAATTTCATTATTTGTAATCGTTGTACTTGATGTAATCATTTAATAATCGTTGTAATTGTTGTGATTGCTGAAATTGCCGTAATTGTGGTAATCGTTGTAATCTTTGTAATCCTTGTAATAGTTGTCATCGTTGTAATTGTTGTAATCATAGGTAATATTTGTACTTGTAATTGTGGTACTTGTAATTCCTGTAATTGTTGTAATCGCTTTAATTGTTGTAATCTTTGAGCTTGTAATGGTTGTAATTGTTGTAGTTGTTATAGTTGTTGTCATTGTTGAAATTTTTGTTATTTTTGTAATCGTTGTCATTGTTATCATTGTTGTCATTGTTGTCATTGTTGTACTTGTAATTGTTTAATTGTTGTGATTGCTGTAATTGTTGTAATTGTTTTATTCGTTGTAATCATTGAACTTGTAATGGTTGTAATTGTTGTAGTTATTGTAGTTGTTGTTATATTTGTACTTGTAACTGTTGTAATTGTCATTGTTGAAATCTTTGTAATTGTTGTCATTGTTGTCATTGGCATCTTTCTGTGTAATGGTTTATTTAATTTTATTTGTTGTATCTGTTGCAATTGTTGCAATTGTTGTAATTGTTGTGATTGTTGTAACTGCTGTAACTGTTGTAATTGTTGTATATGGTGTATTTGTTGTATTTGTTGTAATTGTTGCAATTGTTGCAATTGTTGCAATTGTTGTAATTGTTGTAATTGTTGTAATTGTTGCAATTGTTGTTATTGTTGTTATGGTTGTTATTGCTGTTATTGTTGTCATTGTTGTCATTGTTGTTATTGTTGTTATTGTTATCATTGTTGTTATTGTTGTAATTCTTATAATCGTTATAATCGTTATAATCGATAAAATCGTTTTAATCGATAAAATCGTTTTATTTTTAATGCAATCATGAATATTCATTGAATTAACAATATAAAGGCAGTTTAAGAAAAATTTATTCTAATATTTTCAACTAATTCTTCAAACAAAGAGAAAAAACGTTATTTTATCTCCCAAAATAAAATTATATATTATTCAAGTCCAATGGAAGTTTACGGCTGATAGCTTAAAAAATGTGATAAGTTGAATCGTTTATCTAATCCTATTCTAAAAATATTCTTAATGTTATGTTTAATTTAAATTATATGAATTCACGTTCCTATCATTTGAGGGCTCAGGCTAACCATCGTAATCCCAATATATCTACAAAAAAATATTAGATAAAAAGTGAATAGAAAAATTTGAACAATTTCATCTTAATAATTAAGAACTTACTGACTAATATTGATCAGCAAGAAGATTGCACTATTAAGGGGATAAGCCTTAAGATTAAATTATAAAATAAAGAGATCAATTTAAAGAGATTTATTTTTTTATTCCTTTTATTTTTAAAATGCAATCCTGTTTTCCTAAATCCCTAGAACGCTTTCAAAACACACACATCTCCAAAACAAGATTTTACCCCAAAATCACCGCACTGCAAAACACAAATTAACCTCTAAGCCCAACCCCGTAAACTACCAAAACACAAACCAATTCCTAAAACACAATCAAATCACTAAAACACATTCAAAACTAAAACTATTCCCTACCATACTTCAAAACACACGTTTAGCCTTAAATCTTCTCCAGAACACAATCCCTTCAATATCTTTAAACTCCCTTCAAATCCCTAGAACGTTTTAGAATACAATCTAATCCCCAAAACACCTCCATAACACATTGCTACCTGTGGGCCAAGCTGACCTGCCTGCCTCCTCAGACTTTTTTAAAAACTCCTGACGTCATAAATATTAACATTTCTTTTTCACATGGAAAACTATACGATTCAAAGGGACTAAGGTAGAATATTAAGACTGGCGCGGACGATTTGCAACTGTACCCTTGACAACTTTGTGTGATCAAGATCTCAATATAAGTCACTTGTGGACTTCTGTCACAGCTAGAAAAAACAACCATATCTTCCACATCAATGACCAAATAAAGGTGGGTATCGTTTGAAAATTGTTAGGGTCCTCTTTATGTGGTGAGTCCCTCATAATTGCTATACTTATTGCAATTCCTCTTATATAGCAAAGTTTTACAATAAAAACGATACAAAATTTTTATGACTTGGATGTTCTTAATAAGGCTAAATTCTCCTGAAATTTCGTGATTACAGATTTACTCAAAATGGATGAGACTGTAAAGACGACCTGAAACTGTTTACGTGTGATGATATCAGGATTAAAATGTATTCGTTGAATGGCTAACTTATTGATTTGACAAAGAAAGAATAAAGTTGAAATAGGAATATACATTTTGTACAGTCGTTTTTAAAGTCTCGTCCACAGACCAATTATCTCTTTTCACAGGGTGGGCTACGTAGGGCTTAGTTGACCCGGCACAACATGCTACGTTTTTACGATAGGTTTTTAGAGTGCCATCTTACGGCCCTTTGTTGAACATAATACCCATTCAGGGGTTAAGATTGACAACTTTTAAAGAAATACTCCAATTTTAAACATGAAACGTAACATTTATGAATTCAGTCTTTTTTTCAAGATCATGAAATATCCCTGAAAACAGATGTTGCTGATTGGTCGTGTGCAGTACTTGTACACTAGAACATGCTGTGGAAAATATCTCATATTTTATCTGATAAAAGATCTCTGTAACTCTCTTATATCTGGTCTCATCCTTTGTGGGAAACCATATATTCAAATTCAATAGTTTAAATTAACCAAAATTGAAGAAAATTTCTGTAAATTCTGAAGAAGTTTTTCTAATAAAGGGGTTATAAATTGTTCTTAACGGCTCAATGATTTATAATAATGATGAAGGAAAATGAAAGGAAAATTATTTGAGCAAGCATAAAAAATTTAAACATTTTGTTTCCTCTCTACAAATAAAATCTACAATTTACTTAATTTTATCATTTTAATCATTAGTAAAAGTTTAATATTACATTATATATTTGATTTGAGGAGAACAGAGAAAATTTAACAAGGTTGAAATCTAGATAACGAACCGAACCAGCTCCTAGTGTTTGGGGGGGGGGGGGGCAAGGGGTGTCAACTGAGAATGGGTCGCAATTTTTTAGGGCCGGTGAGGGGTATCGCAATTTTGATTACCGGAGATACAGGGTTACACACAAAGGATGAGGTTGTACTGACGACCAAAACTCTATGGGTTCTGCATGAAATCCAGTCTTTTATAATAGAAGATTTGACAAAGGAAAAGAAATTACACTTGCAAGAACAGTCAGTTAATCTCAGGAAACAGTTTGGATTAATTCCGTACAGTCGTCTCTGAAGTTTAATATTTTAAGGCCACGGGCCACATTTATTAGAAAGGTGTGGGAAAACTTTTAAAAATAACAATGAAGAAAACCAGTTTTCATTAATGATTAAAAATGTTATTATTTTGTTCCTTGGCATAGTCTATTGGAATAGCGAATGATATCCCAGGAGTCACCTAAAATTATAAGAATATAATTTATTGTTTTGGAGAGTATTCGAGAATCAAATATAGATTTCCAATACCGTCTAAGAGGGGTTTCTACCGTTATTAATTCTCAAGCGGATGTTTTATAAACTAGCTGGACGAAGGGGGGAAGACCGACCACAACAATATCTCGTCCGAGCCACCTCGAAATCCTCGTTCTTCCAACATAATTATTTTTAAAACTAAAATACTAAATTTTCCCAAACAATTTTTAAATTTGTGAAATATAAATATTCTCCATAAACAAATAAGCATCTCTATGAGTGAAAAGGACGAGAATTTCGAGGTGGCTCTAACGAGAAAATAAGGATAATGCAGCTCGGACGAGAAATTGCCGTGGTTGGCCTTCCTCCCCTCACTGAACAGTAGACACAGATACCCATCAATCTGCTATATATTAAGGTTTAAAGAGGCTGTGTACGCAATTTCAAGAGACTCTATATTTTTAAAGAGGTATGTCCAATACGTAGGGTACCCTTTGAATGATAAAAAATGCTTAAGATTGTGAATCGGTACTGTAAACAAGTCACACCCATCAGTACTTCCCCTAAAGGATACGTATGCAACCACGACATATAACATCTTGTTATCTAAAAATAATCAATAAAACCAGAATATTCCAGAAAACATGTTATTGCATTCATCAAATATCGAAGAACAGAGAAAACAATACTTCTCTTTTATATATTTGATCGACTAAATAAATAAACTAATAATATCCTAAATTTTAAGATTAAGACGCCCGATTCACAAGGGTACCCTTTATAATCTTAATCTGAATGGCAGTGCGAAGGAAAAATTGGGTTAAATTCATGCTTGCCGCTGCTGCACAAGTCCGCTGTAAATCGGACCTGTTTGATCAATTGAAATTACGTTGACAGTCCCTTTCCTACGATAAATTATCAATCTGGAACAGCTTAAATAGGTATTGTTGTAAATTTATTCATCCAAAAAGTAGAAGACAATTAAAATTTGAAAATGAGGTTTTTGGCAATAATTAATTACTTCGGAATTATAGAATTGAATTAAGGGCCCCAGGAAACCTTTCTTTAATTTAGTGTTTCTTATTTCAAGTGTTGTTTATGTGTCGATTCAAACGGGTTGTCTGATAAATTTGATAAAAACATTGAGATAAATTTGAAAAAGAGTTAACCCTAATTAGCCTGAAATCTGGTTTACTGACTGGCTTCCTGGGGGGGGCGGTCAAATTCGCCACCCCCCCCTCTATTTTCTTATTGTGATACGAATCTATAACATTTGATACGTTTATGGAAAGCCCTTGGGCTCTACTTCAATAACCCGGAAAAAAAGATGCAAATTTACAAAAATTAAATTATTTATAGCGAAAATTAATTATTCAGCAAAAAATGGAAATTTTTTCAAAAATTGCAACAAATTATAGTTTTGAAAAGCCCTTGACCCATTTACAAAACTTTTAAAATCTATTTGAATTCAAGAAAAACTGAAAATGTGCAAATTCCCTTTAAAGACGTCTATACAAAAATCTGTGCAATTTTTTTGGCAAAAATTGTGCAATCCGCTTGGTTTTGTTATAGGCTTTCCAATGAGCTATAAATGTTGAAATCAAATGCCTGGAAGTAGGTCTAAATACAGATTTAGTCTTGCATAGGTAAAATAAGGCATTTAGGCAATATGCCTCAGGACTCAGGCAGAAGGTATAAAAGCCAAGCTTTTAGGCTTAAGTGAGGGGCATGGGTTTATTAGAAAAGCCAAAATATTTGAGCCTCCTCGCTCAATACTTTTTGATTTATCGCAAAAAAAACGTTAGGCAGAATTTTGTCCCCCCCCCCCCCAGTCCAAATAGGGTTAAGATAAATTTGTAAAACATATGTTTAAATGAATGTTAACCTTCATACTGTTGATACCGATGGCTTCTCCGTCAAGGTTAATAAGAGGTCCTCCTGAGTTTCCAAATGTGATGGCAGCATCAGTTTGAATATAATCAGGCACATCTCGGCCCTAAACCAAGATATAAATATATTCATTGTTTAAAGATTCCAAATCTTAAATACGAAATAGTCCTCCAAATTTATTCATTGTTCAAAGATTCTAAATCTTTATTACGAAATACTCCTTCAAATTTATTCATTATTAAAAGATTTCAAACCTTAAAATCGAAATAGTCCTCCCGATTTATTCTATGTTTAAAGATTCCAAATCTTAAATTCGAATTAGTCCTCCAGATTAATTCTATGTTTTAAGATTCCAAATCTTAAATTCGAAATAGTCCTCCAGATTTATGATTTTAGAATGTTACCTCTAGGCCGAGTTCTATCGGAGGTCTGGCGACATTAGACACTATTCCTGGAAACAAATTAAATGATTATTGTAAAACCTTTTTTTATTTGATCTTTGTTGTTGTTAGATAATGAAAATTAAAGAGTTTGTTCACGTAATTTCGAGTGACTCTCCATTTGATAAGTTGCTCGTCAGATATAAATACTTAAAATTCTCACAGAATTTTTAAAAAATAATTTCCTACTACTGTAAACTTTGCTTCATTAAAGTGGACTGTTGGTGTTATTTCAAGTGTCACTCCATATTTAGAGTACCTTAACAGATTCACAAAAGATAAACTTTTAACCATTTTTAAAGTAACATTAAGGAAGACGTTTTTCTAACTACCTAGTGTTGAATTCTCACAATTAACTGTGTACTAGTGTCCTCTTGTATACAGAAATCACAATTCAAAATTTTGGATCAGGCATCCAATTTTAATATTGAAAATCAGTTGAAAAACGTTGACAGTCCCTTTACGCGGAAATAAAACATATTTTTTGTTGAAAAGATGGAAGTATTCTTGTTTTTATTCGTTATATGTAAACCAATATTAGGATTGTAGACGACTCAATATCTTTGTTTCTTTTTGGTCTTGAATATTAGATTATATTTATCATGGAATACGGCCGATAAAGTTTAATTAACCTACCTAGAAAACTCATAGATATTTTATTGAACCAATTTTGGAAAACCTCCACTTAAAGACTTTATTCTGTTCGCGATATGTTTCCTTCTTTCATAGATTAAAAAAAGAGTAACATAATCGCTATCCAATTGCTTTCGAATGCTGTTCAGAACAATTCAATAACAACTCTTGGCAAGAATCCGAGTGATCGTTGTACTTTGTCTGTAGGTTGAATGTTAATTATAATAATAATAATATAAAAAAATAATTTAATTTTTGTAGAAGTTTCTGATGAAAAGTATTGGAAAATTTCTTTTTTAAAGAAACTGTTATCTGTAAGATCCTGGTTTCGGAAGGGATTATTAATCATCTCTGTTGTGACTAGTTTTTATTTTGTATATCATATCTATAGTATATATAAATGTTTTGTAGTCATAAATTTAAAATATCCCATATTTCATCATATTGTACCCTTATGTGTATGAAATAAAAAAAATAATAATGGGAAAATCTTTGAATGGGCTAATTGATCACCTGTAGTAATTGTATTAGAGAGAGAAAGAGGAGATCCCATCGCAACAACAAACTCTCCAGGTTTTAGGTCTTTAGATACACCTAATCTCATTACAGGCAGGTTTCCACATGGTATCCTAGATATAAGGTTTAGATACGCCTAGTCTTATTATAGGCAGGTTTCCACATGGTATTCTAGATATAAGGTTTATATACACCTAGTCTTATTACAAGCAGGTTTCCACATGGTATCCTAGATATAAGGTTTATATACCCCTAGTCTTATTATAGGTAGGTTTCCACATGGTATCCTAGATATAAGGTTTATATACACCTAGTCTTATTATAGGTAGGTTTCCACATGGTATCCTAGATATAAGGTTTATTTACACCTTGTCTTATTATAGGTAGGTTTCCACATGGTATCATAGATAAGGTTTATATACGCCTAGTCTTATTATAGGTAGGTTTCCACATGGTATCCTAGATATAAGGTTTATATACACCTAGTCTTATCATAGGTCGGTTTCCACATGGTATCCTAGATAAGGTTTAGATACTCCTAGTCTTATTATAGGCAGGTTTCCACGTGGTATCCTAGATATAAGGTTTATATACACCTAATCTTATTATAGGTAGGTTTCCACATGGTATCCTAGATATAAGGTTTAGATACACCTAGTCTTATTACAGGCAGGTTTCCACATGGTATCCTAGATACAAGGTTTAGATACAACTAGTCTTATTACAGGAAGGTTTCCACATGGTATCCTAGATATAAGGTTTAGATACACCTAGTATTATTACAGGTAGGTTTCTACATGGCATCTTTTATACACCTAGTCTTATTATACATCAGTACATCAGTACATCAGTGATCCAGTGAACTAGTGAACCAATGAGTTAGTGAGTTAGTGACTTAGTGATCCCGGTGATCCCGGTGATCCCAGTGATCCCAGTGATCCGGTGATCTGGTGATCTGGTGATTCGGTGATTCGGTGAATCGGTGATTCGGTGATTCGGTGATTCGGTGATTCGGTGATTCGGTGATTTGGTGATTTGGTGATTCGGTGATTCGGTGATTCGGTGAGTCGGTGAGTCGGTGAGTCAGTGAGTCAGTGAGTCAGTGAGTTGGTGAGTCAGTAAGTTGGTGAATCGGTGAGTCGGTGAATTTGAGAATTTGTAGATCGGTGAATCGGTGAATCTGTGAATCGGTGGATTGGTGAATCGGTGAATCGGTGAATCAATGAATCCTAAATCTTGAATTTACCTGATGGTTGCAAGATCAGATCTAACATCAACATCCTCTACAACACCGGCAAACACTTCACCACTCTGTAACCTAACCTAAAATATATAATTCTCGCAAGATTTTTCAAATTTGAAATAATACAAAATACAACCTAGTCCCTTTCTCTTCATTTCTGATTTCTAAGAATCAGGTTAGGTATGATCCAATAGATAGATAAGACCGGGGCAAATGGCGGAGATCAACCCTGATTTCATTATATTATAGCCTACAGGTCATGGTACATTGTATGTAGGTTGATTGTTAATAATAATATTATGTGTACATCATATACAGGTTGTCCCAATAAACATGGGAATTCAGTGACGAATTCGATATCGTCTTTATTATTAATTAGCATTGCAATACCTGATTTCAATAGACATTATATTATTATGTCTGCTAGAGTTTATTTTATGAAAACGGTAAATTGCTGTAAAGATATGGCTATGATGTCTCTGCAAGATGAACAGTGAAGACGGACAAGTTTACTCTGTTTTTATACTGTAGTTTTCTTGTTTTACTAAGTACAACTGTATGCCGTTAAAACATAAACATAAAAATTGTAAACAATAGCAGACGAAAATATTACATTACAGATTACAGCTTTCTCAGTAGGTATCACTAGACTAAATTAAAGAATTTTTAAAAAGACGATTTCGACTTCGTCACTGAATTCCTATGTTTATTGGGACACCCTGTATCACGAAAAATGCAAAGGCGCAGAATTTTAAACTTGGGGCTAAGGCATTCCAGCCATTGTGCATCCAAGGTTTAATCTTAAATTATCCTGTAGATCCGCACATCCAAAGTCAGTGTCAACAAAAAGTCAGCAGTCTCTATTTAACCATACTTTCCAGGAGCTTAATTTCGTTTGTGAAATGATTGTCCGCGAAAAAAAAGATTTTTTACAATCGGGTCATTGAAAATAATTCATTTTAACTCAGCTTGAAGTGCTGTGGCAAGTTTTTTATTTCAATCAAAAGACGACATTTGAAGAAATCCGCAAATAAATCTATAGAAAGAGAAGAGGTATTGATAATAAAATAATCGATTCTACCATGACTTTCATCGATAATTTCTTTTGAGAAACAAAAAATTATTTAATGAAAGTTTTGTGCTTGTATTAAATAATTGTACACAACTTTTGTTCTACGGACCATCCCTTCTAGTAAAATACAACCAAATTAACGCTTTATTTCTTAAAAATAATAGTAATACACAGTAAAACGTCTCAAATGAATTTTAAATTTCTCTCTATAATACTGCACTCTTGGTTCAATTACGTTACCTAGCAAGTCTCTCCATTAAAATTGTTTCACTTGGGTAAATTATATCCACCACAGATTTTTTGTTTCTTTCGACTAGAAAATAACTTTCTCGTATGTAATTTTGACAACAAATGCAATTTCTTTACAAGATATAAATAATGACGGGAAGTGCTGGCTGGTATGGTATTACATGTATTGAATAATTGTACATATATTAAATGTAATTGTGCATATTTATTATTTATATATTAAATATAATTGTACATATTCATATATTAAATGTAATTGTACATATTCATATATTAAATGTAATTGTACATATATTTACATATTAAATGTATTTGTACATATATCTATATATTACATGTAATTGTACATATTCATATATTAAATGTAATTGTTCATATATTTATATATTAAATGTAATTGTACATATTCATATATTAAATTTAATTGTATATATATTTATATATTACATGTGATTGTACATATTTGTATATTAAATGTAATTGTACATATATTTATATATTAAATGTAATTGTACATATTTATATATTAAATGTAATTGTACATATATTTATATATTAAATATAATTGTACATATTCATATATTAAATGTAATTGTTCATATATTTATATATTAAATGTAATTGTACATATTCATATATTAAATGTAATTGTTCATATATTAATATAAATGTAATTGTATATATATTTATATATTAAATGTAATTGTACATATTTATATATTAATTGTAATTGTATAATATGTTAAATGGTATCCGTAAATGTGCTTACCTGAATTGATGCCCTAGGCTTGTTGATCACAACATGAGCATTTGTAAGAATAAGTCCGTCAGGTTTAACTTTAAAAATTATTTTTATTATTCTATATGTTTGGGGATTTTTAAGATTTAAAAAAAGAAGCAAAATTATATTAAAAAATAGCACACAATGGAAATATTGAAAGATTTTCATTAAGCCCTTGTCCATGAACATTGGCCAAACTCTGCAATATTGAGTTTTCACTATAAACCTCTTATTAAAGTCAAATAAGGCTAGGCCACTTAAGAATTTTTTTTTGGAGAAGTGTCTAAGGAGTCTAAGGCGTTGTAATTTTGTGGTGACGTTACAAAATCCGACGGAAAAATATGTAACTTTATACACGAATCAGAGACCAAACAAATACTTGATTTTTTATTAAAGATTGTTAGAATCTTATTTAATATCTAGATTGTCCTCTGATATGTTGTAATTTCTTGTACAAAGGTTATAGAGTATATGTTTTTTTTCTCACAATTATACGTATCCTATGTAACCTATGTACAGTATAACCTCTTAATTGTACGCAATATAGTGGGTTTTCAGAATCCATTCATGGAACAATATATGAATAGGAAAAGTAATTATAAATTGAAATCAATTTAAATCAATTCAAGATACAATTGATACAATGTTTGTTAATAAAAAAATTATCAGAATACATTCAACTTCTCCATTCTCATCTTAACATTTGCATTTGAAAGGAAGATTGTGACAAAAATCAGCCACCCCCCCCCCCCCCCTAACCCATAAAATACCCGATAATTTTAAGAAAATTGAATTTTTGTTTGCTAACCTATGAATCCTGATCCATTAGATGAAGTTACCGGTTGGCCGGTGAAGTAGTCTCTATGGGAAGTATCCTTAATTCAAAAGTTATTTGCAATATTCATAACTTAAAAGGGAATGCTCTAACATTTGGATATAGTAAAGAAAGTGACAACTTAGCAATGAAGCAACTTAATACAGTGGTAGGCGATTTTATCAATACAATGAAGACGACTTTAAAATTAAATTTTGATTTAAATTAAGCTTTTAAACAGCAGGGATATACAAAGATATAGAAGTCAAGAGAATTTATCAATCAAAAAAGCTACTCTTTGATTACTTGTAAACTTGTAATACCAAAAAATCTTGTTAACAATCAAAAATTTTATAAAAAAAAGTCGTCTTTATTGTAGTGATATAATCGCTTACCACGGTATAATATTGTAATAGTAATATTGTTGTAGTAAAAATTACTAGGAAAACACAATGTACAAAATACATTATCTACAAATATTTGAGAAATAGAAGTATACAATGAACATAATTATTCAAGATAACGAATACAAATATAATTTTAAAAAAGGAAACTAACCTTAATTTCTATATAAACCAGAGCTGGGGCAGTTTCTGCTACAACGTCGGCAATAAAATTAAATCTCTGTCTCCTATTATTTTGTTAAAATCTAAAATGAAACAAAATCTCAAAAACGTCATCCTTGTGTAACTAGTATAAAATCAAATGTAATGAAATCAGACTTCTAGGACTGTCCTACGTCAATTCTACAGTTTCAAGATAATTTTAGAATTGTAGCCTGGTATTATGATTTGTAATGATTCAACGAAATTTCGAGTTGTAAAACTAAGAGATTGATTTGACAAAATTTCCCTGGTCCGATTGTCGTGTTTACTGCTTGTATTTGACTCTGCCTCCTTCTCCCCAGTCTTTTCTTTGTCTATTGGCTCTGCGGCTCGAACACCAAACCTGGAATACCAAATTTATTTTCCATGTAACAGAAATGATCAAGATATTGTTATCTTGTAAACATAAAAGATAATGAAAGGGGCGAGTGGAAAATTGTACTATTAGAATATTCTTCCCTTCCTTCTAAATATACAGGGTTACCCACAAAGAATGAGAATTTGATCACGACCTGAAACACTTTAAACTCTAACTTACTAAATGTTAAACTTAATTCTTGTTCTTAAATATAGCATTACCATAAATAAAAAACAATTTTTTGAAAAAAGCAAAAAGCTCAAAGATCAAGGAAGCATTCAATAAATGAAAAAGGTTTAACTAAATTCCGTACATTCGCTGGAGTCTCATCTCTTGTGGGTAACCCTGTATAATTGGCTTGGCTGTCTATTGTTTGGTTGTATTCAATAAACGTCTAGCATAGAACAGGATCTTTTTTCTCCCAATCTTTTTTCTCCCAATCTTTTTTCTCCCAATCTTTTTTTGGGAGGGACAACTTCACATGACTTCTGGGAAGGGATATGGCTGGTCAGAATCAATTATGTTAGTTCGGAAAAATATCGATTTAATTCTAGTTTGATATCCATCACATAAATCTAAAAATCCTTGAAATCTTCAGGTTTTCAATGCACGATGTAAAATGGCGTCTTATAAACATTTAAAAGCTAAAACTTTACTAAAAAAATGTACACCTGCTGAACCTTCCAGGTTCGTCAGCTGGCTCTGATTTTGAGTAGTTCTGTGCGGACCATACCCCGGCTATTGAGAGGACGGAAAATCCGTATAAAATTTCAGGATGAAGACGACGTCCAGATTCTTCTTTTTTATCCGAACCCTCCTCCTTCTCCTCCACCTCAGTTCTACAGAGGTTCTTGTCCGAAGAATCTGTTCCCCGAGGTGTCCGTCTAGGTAAATATATTAAATAATCAAAATTACAGATTAGTGCTTCAAGGGATGGTAGATGTTATTCCAAGCGACCCTCCATTAAAAAGAGTGGAATGTTCGAATCACAAAGGTTCCCTTGAAACCCTTGCTCTAGTAAAAATGAGAAAGGAATGATGAAGGAATTTTCTATCTGAAAATTCTGACACTTTTCTTCATTGTCTCAATTTCACTTTTATAGAGAACCCACAATTAAAAATATCAACTTCCCGAGTGTCACTTTTTTGTTGTTACCAATTTGTCATTACCAAATTGTCACTTTTGTGAGCTTACCAAATTGTCATTACCAAATTGACGTTACCAAATTGTCACCTTACCAAATTGTCATTACCAAATTGTCATTACCAAATTGTCATTGCCAAATTGACATTACCAAAAATCCGCCCATCCGAAGAATAGGTGTGGTCCGGACTAAGAATAGGTGTGGTCCGGACGAAGAATAGGTGTGGTCCGGACAAAGAATAGGTGTGGTCCGGACGAAGAATAGGTGTGGTCCGGACGAAGAATAGGTGTGGTCCGGACGAAGAATAGGTGTGGTCCGGACAAGGAATAGGTGTGGTCCGGACGAAGAATAGGTGTGGCCCGGACGAAGAATAGGTGTGGTCCAGACGAAGAATAGGTGTGGTCCGGACGAAGAATAAATGTGGTCCGGACGAAAACTAGGTGTTATCCGTAAGAAGAATAAGTGGGGTCCGGACGAAGAATAGGTGTGGTCCGGACGAAGAATAGGTTTGGTCCGTACGAAGAATAGGTGTGGTCCGTACGAAGAATAGGTGTGGTCCGGGCGAAGAGTAGGTGTGGTCCGGACGAAGAGTAGGTGTGGTCCAGACGAAGAATAGGTGTGGTCCGGACGAAGAATAGGTGTGGTCCGGACGAAGAATAGGTGTGGTCCGGACGAAAAATAGTTGAAGCACACATATTTTTTTTTTTGCTAAATTAGGATTAAATAACTTTTTATATTTCTTTCTGATTTGCAAGGATTGTTTTTAATTAAAAACCGTGAACTTAAATTGAATGAGTTTTACGTCAATAAAATGAAAATAAACTAATCATGGTTTCTGTAGAAGCCTGTGAATTCCAGACGTGGCTCAATGTTAATTAATATTAGTTTTAAAAATCAGAATTACGTTTATGAGTCTTAATATAACAATTAAATTGAGTACAATCTGTTCACTATTTTGCAATTTCAGACAAAAAGAGGTATACACAGAATTTACACTGATTTTACTCCTATTTTCAAATTAGTGGCTGATTATCATAAACCCGTCAAACTAGGGAGGGAACCCCCCTCCGCCATGAGCCTCTCAGATTTGCTTTGCAACACCGAGCCTTAGCTATAGGCAGTACAAATCTTAAACAGCCAATCTCAAATAGCAAAAGCGCAGGAAATGTCGTCTTATTAAAAAAGCTGTTGATCATTGATCTGCACAAAAAGAAAACTGCTAAGATGTTCGCAGCTTCAAAGGGTTGATCGAATACGATTTGTGAAAATATATCCAAATATCATTGTAGAGTGATAAGTTTTTTGATAATTCTAAAAAACTGCTTTGTATTTTTAATTCAAGGTAGATTAATAGCTTTGAACAATGCAGGACAGCAATTGATATTGTAAACTCGCTTTTCCACGGTATTTGATCTTAAATATGTTGAGAATACATACTCTTGCTATGTATTCATACAGGGTGTTCCACATCATATTTGATCGTTTTCAGCTCTTAATTGTGATTTTCGGGACAAACCAGAATTCTTAGAAAAATTCTGTAAGGCTAAATAAACAAATTTGCATGCAGAATTTATTTTTAGTATTATGTGCGTATTTTGGCGTTAAAGCTTGGTGATAATCCGATATGATTAGGGACGCTCTGTATATCAGGGATTCACTGTACTAAAAGTTTTTTTTACACAAAAAGGTACATTAAAGATGCTCGCCTTTTGATGCATATAGAAATAAAAGTTAATCCATAAATCAATCACACAAAAAGGAAGATATTACAGTGATAACCAGAAAACGCTGGAATAGGAAGTCGACTTTTAAACTCAATTTATGACTTTAAGTAGCCCAATAACCATGAGACACAGCCAATGTGGAGTACAAACCGACCCATTTTACTTGAAAATTGCATTGATCACTTTTTAGTAAAGCTATTTGCTCTGTACTTTCACATGTGTCAATCAGGCAGCTCAGGCAAGAAAAATACAGACAAAGGATAGCAAGTAAATTAGGTCGAGGATTTCTAATTTAAGAAAAATAAACTTTTATATCGATTAGGGGTGTGAAATTTTAAAAATTTTCTGAAATCATTTTACATAAGCATTCTACTTGGAATTTTAAGGCATAAGGTATCCGCGCCTAGAATTATTAGTATGACATTTTACTGCATAGCGGAGGCTCGTTCCTATATAGCAAATCTGGGAGGCTCATGGCGGCTGTAGGTTTCCTCCAACGTCAAACACTACCGTCAGAATACTAAATTGATTTCTCTTGGCTGGTTAAAATGATATAAACTCGAACCCCATTTTCAGCGAAATATATTCAGTTTTGCATCTCCAGCTGACCGAGCTACTTCTGCTTACTACTGAACGCTGACCGAAAGATCGTAACGGCATTGCCAACAGTTTGGCAGACTTTGGTAACATTTTAATCTGAAAATACGGAACAAAAACTAGTTTTAGCAGATTTATTAGGATTTTCTAACAAAAGTAACTTTAACGCTGCTAAAGAAGTTACAGATCATTATAATAATTAATGAACAACTATTTTTATAAAAAATAAAGTCATAAGTTTTAAATTGTTCTATGAGATGCAAGGTTGATTACAATAAAATTTATCTTCTAGGATCTAGGATCTCTTGAACTACATCCAGGTAGAATCACATATATAAGCTAAGCTCAGTAAATTTAATATCTATCACATTTATCTAAATAAACTCAGATTTGTAAAACCATGTAAAATATTTTGAACATAATTTTTCAATGCATTTATAGATTTTATCCAACCTCTACGAGCCTAGAATCCCGTCTTTATGGCAGTGGGAATATTCATTACATTAGACTGGAATTTCGTATTACTTATTTGACTAAACATTTTCATGGCTGGTCCCGTTTTAAGCAGTTTTAAAGAAGGCCTTTTTGATAAAAGAACGCAATGTTAAAAATGATGCACATGCAGGACGCAGGTTGATACCAGTTCAACCGGACTTTGTAGAACTCCTTAGAGACCCTTATTATAGTAGAGGAGAGCTGGTGGGTTGGATAAACTTCTCAGTTTCTCCTGGATCTCAGGCTCTACCGACGACGCGCTGATGGAGGCCTGCTGCTTGAAGATAGCGCAGCACATTGGTGTAGCGAAGGTTAAAATGACCCCCAAGAGACCGATTTGGAGCGGAGCACCCAACCACGGCATCCTCTTGAAGGTTCCCTTCTGCTCCAGCTTGTTCATCACCAGGGGGATCAGAATCATACCTAGTCAGTTAACTCATCATGGTCTATTTAATGGAGGTGTGGCCTGAGTTCTACCGAATTAATTTGTTTATTATTGGTCCACTGATTCGGCTTTATAAACCCCAATGCTAACTGCTAGGGACTTTTTATAAAGCATGCTTTCAAGTGTGAAATCTGGGTGTAGATAACTAAAAGAATTACTCCTCTCTCCTTAGGGAAAAAATAAGGATTTTTGTCAGCTTTTCCCACTTCTAATACACCTTCCCCCCCCCTCCCAAATTTTTTATCTTCCCCTTAAAATCATTTGTTTGCCCCATTTACCCTTAAAATACACAAGAAATCAAACGATTTTCAAAGAGAAGGGGCGGGGTGCGATTTTTCAACAGAAAAAAATACCCTTAAGAAATCCTACCTGGAGACGCCATTCCAATCCTACTGAGAACAACTTGAGAAATCCCTTCCCTGGCAGCGATCTTAGATTCTCCCACCTTTACTCCATCCTCTGTAGTCAACATGATTCCCTTATACAATACAAATACAAATACAAATAATGATATTAATAAACAAGAAAAAAAATGTCAGCAAAAAATAATAATAAAAAAATAATAAAAAAAGTCAAAATTAAAAATAATAAAATAAAACTTTCAAGAATAATATTAACAACTAACTTGAGACCCAGCTTTGCCTGAAAATCAGGTTTTTGTTTTTTGAGTCAACCTATTCAAATCGGTTAAGGGGTTTCTTAGTTATGATCGGACGTACAAACAAACAAACAGAGATTACTACTTTATATATATATATATATATATATAGAAGTTCCTACTGAAGATAAACATAACTTTATCCAGTGCTAAACAATAACTATAAACCTTAACAGTAACTAAAACAAAACCATAATCATATTCATAACAATAAAAAACAATAACTATAAACCTTAACAGTAACCATAACAAAACCAAAACAAACAACCATAATCGTATTCATAACAATGAAAAACAATAACTATAAACCTTAACAATGACCATAACAAAACCAAAACCAACAACCATAATTAACAATAAAAAAAACAATAACTATAGCAAAACCATAATCATATTCATAACAATAAAAAATAATAACTATAAACCTTAACAGTAACTATAACAAAGCCAAAACCAACAACCATAATCGTATTCAAAACAAGAAAAAAACAAAAAACTATAAACCTTAACAATAACCATAACAACCAATACCAACAACAAATAAGTCAGAAGATAACCATAACAATGTCCATGGCAAGTAATATCCTTAAATTACAGTAATTTGTCCATAAAAAAAGAACCTGTTGAAGTTCAGATCTGCGCATGAGCGGTATATTGATGCAATTGGCAGCTGCAACCGCAGCAAAAGGCACAAGTCGTCCAGCCAACGGGGGTAGAGACTTCACCATAGCATTTAAACCTGAACATCTGCATGTTAATAAGAAAACATTAACGAAGCTTTTTCTGATATTTTGATCTTAAATATTCAGTTTCAAGCGACAAAAGTAGCAGCTGTATAGTAAGTAGGGAGGAAAGATACCAAGAGCTCTTCCTAGTGCTCGCCCTGTAGCAGCTGCATAGTGAGTAGGGTGGATAGTTACCTAGAGCTGTTCCTAGTTCACCTCCTGTAGGAGCTGCAATGTGAGTAGGGTGTATAGTTACCTAGAGCTGTTCCTAGTGCTCCTCCTGTAGCAGCTGCAATGTGAGTAGGGTGTATAGTTACCTAGAGCTGTTCTTAGTGCTCCTCCTGTAGCAGCTGCATAGCTAGTAGGGTGGATAGTTACCTAGAGCTGTTCCTAGTGCTCCTCCTGTAGCTGCTGCATAGTGAGTAGGGTGGATAGTTACCTAGAGCTGTTCCTAGTGCTCCTCCTGTAGCAGCTGCATAGCTAGTAGGATGAATAGTTACCTAGAGCTGTTCCTAGTGCTCCTCCTGTAGCAGCTGCATAGCTAGTAGGATCGATAGTTACCTAGAGCTGTTCCTAGTGCTCCTCCTGTAGCAGCTGCATAGTGAGTAGGATGGATAGTTACCTAAAGCTGTTCCTAGTGCTCCTCCTGTAGGAGCTGCATAGTGAGTAGGGTGTATAGTTATCTAGAGCTGTTCCTACTGCTCCCCCTGTAGCAAAGCAGTTGTATAGTGAGTAGGGTGGATAGTTACCTAGAGCTGTTCCTAGTGCTCCTCCTGTAGCAGCTGCATAGTGAGTAGGGTGGATAGTTACCTAGAGCTCTTCCTAGTGCTCCTCCTGTAGGAGCTGCATAGTGAGTAGGGTGGATAGTTACCTAGAGCTGTTCCTAGTGCTCCTCCAGTAGGAGCTGCATAGTGAGTAGGGTGTATAGTTACCTAGAGCTGTTCCTAGTGCTCCCCCTGTAGCAAAGCAGTTGTACAGTGAGTAGGGTGGACAGTTACCTAGAGCTGTTCCTAGTGCTCCTCCTGTAGCAGTTGTATAGTGAGTAGAGTGGATAGTTACCTAGAGCTGTTCCTAGTGCTCCTCCTGTAGCTGCTGTATAGTGAGTAGAGTAGATAGTTACCTAGAGCTGTTCCTAGTGCTCCCCCTGTAGCAGCTGTATAGTGAGTAGAGTGGATAGTTACCTAGAGCTGTTCCTAGTGCTCCCCCTGTAGCAGTTGTATAGTGAGTAGAGTGGATAGTTACCTGGAGCTGTTCATAGTGCTCCTCCTGTAGCAGCAGCATAGTGAGTAGGGTGGATAGTTACCTAAAGCTGTTCCTAGTGCCCCTCCTGTAGCAGCAGCATAGCTGGTTCCAAGCGTAGACATTGGTATAGGGGAGTCACCACTAAAACACAGAAAATAAAATCATTAATTTCCCAACTTTTCAAAACCCCCGTAACTAATTAAGAAAAACAATTAAACTCAAAACTGACGCTTTTGTATTGAATCCACAATATTCTAATTTGTAAAAAGTTTGTAAACAAGGTGTTATACATATATAAAGATAAGAGAAGGATCTGAACCCCCTCCCCCCCGTCTTGGAGAGCCCAGACCGCCATCGGGGTTAACTATAAAAAATTGGTAAATTTCCAAGAATCACAGAAAAAACGTCATTTTCATTTGAATTTCAAAACGTGTCTAAAATATTTTTAAAATTCGGAAACTTTGCATTTATTCTACAATCAAGACAAAGGTATCAATGTGAATCCAACATGGTACTCTGTAAATGGAGGATCACTTGAAATTACGTCTCCAACCCCTTTAAAAGAATTTAAATGGAGTTTAAGAAACCATTAAGAAAAAAAACACAAAACCTTCTGTTAGTATAGTTAACAACAGCATTGAATGACTGATTGAACCACTGCCAGAAGACGACTGCTGGTGTTGTCTTGTAAAATGTCATCATACAACCTGCAAAATATAGCTATCAAGAGATTATCAAATCATTTCCAGTTGCGTATTTTATTAAAAAGTGCCATTTGTGATTCAAACTGAACACTAGATTTGAATTAGAAATTAAAAAATGGCGACCCAGCTATCCTGAAAGCTACTCATAGATTTTTAAGTTCTTTCACAGCATTTTCAACCTTCCAAACATCTGATGTAGATAATACTCCAAGCTTTCTAATATTAGATGTGGACAGTTTTCCTAATTTCCTAACATTATATGTGGATAATACTCCAAGCTTCCTAATATTAGATGTGGACAGTTTTCCTAATTTCCTAACATTATGTGTGGATAATACTCCAAGCTTCCTATTATTAGATGTGGACAGTTCTCCTAATTTCCTTATGTAGATAATATTCCAAGCTTCCTAACATTAGATGTGGACAGTTTTCCTAATTTCCTAACATTATATGTGGATCCTACTCCAAATTTCCTAATATTAGATTTGGACAGTTTTCCTAATTTCCTAACATTATATGTGGATGATTTCCAAACTTCCTAACATTAGATGTGGAAAGTTTTCCAAATTTCCTAACATTATATGTGGATAATCTCCAAACTTCCCTAACATTAGATTTTGACAGTTTTCCAAATTTCCTAACATTATATGTGGATAATCTCCAAACTTCCCTAACATTAGATGTGAATAGTTTTCCTAATTTCCTAACATTATATGTGGATAATCTCCAAACTTCCCTAACATTAGATGTGGACAGTTTTCCTAATTTCCTAACATTATATGTAGATAATACTCCCAAACTTCCTAACATTAGATGTGGACAGTTTTCCTAACATTATATGTGGATAATACTCCCAAACTTCCTAACATTAGATGTGGACGTTTTCCTAATTTCCTAACATTATATGTAGATAATACTCCCAAACTTCCTAACATTAGATGTGGACAGTTTTCCTAATTTCCTAACATTATATGTGGAAACTTACGAGACGATTGTACGGACTTTGGTCAGTCTTTTTACTTAGGTTCATGAAGCTGTTAACTTGTTTATTATTTTGTCAAACAATTTAATATGTCATTAAAAGACTGTATCAATAGCAGTAATCAATTATTCAACCTCCAACGCTATATCTAAAGAGTCATAAAAGCCTCATCCATTGAAGGGTAACCTTAACATCCAATATCTTATATTTAGGAGTATGGACTTGAACCTTATACACACGCTTAGTTTCCATTTGGTAAGATAATTACCTGTGACCAGCATATTACAGGGAACTTGGGCAGCCATTCTGCCTGGCAGGAACATAAGTTCTCCTTGACAAAAAAATGATTTAAAAAAACAAACAATTTAAAATCATAAAAAAATACAAATAAAATAATGGATAAGCATCAATTATTATTATGAACAATCAACCTAGAGACAAAGTACAACCAGTAGGTTGTAATACAATGAAAACAGGGTGGTCCGAATCCCGCCTAAATTTTGTTAAGATTCAGTGTGTATACTGTATGCCAGAAAAGCATGGATACCATAGGAGATAAACAAATGGATGGTTCAAAAACACTTACGGAAAGCGATACACACCTCCGCAGAGAGCGTTAATTTTTTAATTGAGGTTTACTTTACTGTTAAGTGTTTACAAATGCATGTACTTTTAAGTATCTAGACTAGCTGTAAACCACGTTTTTAAATTCCAGCACACTAGGTTTCAATGGGGTATGCATAATATATATAGATAAAAATTTACACTTTATATAAACAATAGTCCGTTTGGCAGGAGTGGTCTATTTGGAGGGGGGGGGGGGGTTAACTGCCAACCATGACCGTTTACGTACTATATTTGACTGTACACAATCAACCCATTCACTTAATAAGTTGGTTTTCAGACTGTGTGGTAAACTATTTAAACCCTAAAACAGATACAAATAAGTTTTTATATATGTCGGTCTTCATATTTCCCAGTAATCTGGGTCCGGTAGTTTAGTGTACAAGGCTTTTAGGGCGCTTCGTACCCATCCTCTCTAATTCTTAATATCTGTGAGCATCTTCTCTTTGTACATAACAAATTTTTGCGCATTTTCAAATATTTTTTTCGCACACTTTTAAGATTTCACAATATTCATAGGTTTTGGATACAACTTTTTGTAACTCTGAGCATTCATAAACCTTCCCTGGGATCATGCAAGATACCACAAGTTTAAGCCTGATTGGTTCAACCGTTTTGACGTTCCTTGGATACAAACAAACAGCAAAGTTATAGATAGATAACCTGTATCCGGATGGTATGCAGAATCATATAGATGTTTAGCTCTCCAGATCTCATCTTCTGTTAGATCAGTTTTCTCTCCAGACTTATATTTATCAATAGTTTCCTAAATATATTATAAATATATTATTTTGAATTCATATATTTATCAATTGTTTCCTAAATATATTATTTTGAATTCATATATTTATCAATAGTTTCCTAAATACATTATTTTGAATTCGTATATTTATCAATAGTTTCCTGAATATATCATTTTGAATTCTTATATTTATCAATAGTTCCCTAAATTTAATTAATTTGAATTCTTATATTTATCAATAGTTTCCTAAATATATTGATTTAAATTCTTATATTTATCAATAGTTCCCTAAATATATTAATTTGAATTCTTATATTTATCAATAGTTTCCTAAATATATTAATTTGAATTCTTATATTGATCAATAGTTCCCTAAATATATTAATTTGAATTCTTATATTTATCAATAGTTTCCTAAATATATTAATTTGAATTCTTATATTTATCAACAGTTTCCTAAATATATTAATTTGAATTCTTATATTGATCAATAGTTCCCTAAATAATTTGAATTCTAATATTTATCAATAGTTCCCCAAATATATTAATTTGAATTCTTATATTGATCAATAGTTTCCTAAATATATTAATTTAAATTCTTATATTTATCAATAGTTTCCTAAATATATTAATTTGAATTCTTATATTTATCAATAGTTTCCTAAATATATTAATTTGAATTCTTATATTGATCAATAGTTCCCTAAATATATTAATTTGAATTCTTATATTTATCAATAGTTACCTAAATACATTAATTTGAATTCTTATATTGATCAATAGTTTCCTAAATATATTAATTTAAATTCTAATATTTATCAATAGTTTCCTAAATATATTAATTTGAATTCTTATATTTATCAATAGTTTTCTAAATATATTAATCTAAATTCTTTTATTTTCCAATAGTTTCCTAAATATATATTAATCTAAATTCTTATATTTTTCAATAGTTTCCTAAATATATTAATCTGAATTCTTATATCTTTCAATAGTTTCCTAAATATATTAATCTAAATTCTTATATTTTTCAATAGTTTCCTAAATATATTAATCTAAATTCTTTTATTTTTCAATAGTTTCCTAAATATATTAATCTAAATTCTTATATTTTTCAATAGTTTCCTAAATATTTTAATCTAAATTCTTATATTTTCAATAGTTTCCTAAATATATTAATCTAAATTCTATTATTTTTCAATAGTTTCCTAAATATATTAATCTAATTTCTTATATTTATCAATAGTTTCCTAAATATATTAATTAAATTCCTATATTAATCAATAGTTTCCTAAATATATTAATTTAAATTCAAATTGAATATCATGGTTTAAAGGATAGCATAATTTTCTCTCAGTATATTAAAAAAATGTGCATCATATGTGACAATGATACTTATATCGATGGAAAAAGGTGTACATTAAAGATTTAAAGAGGAACCGGTGGCGGAGAAAGGGTTCGGAGAAGTCCATGCACATACGATACATTTACGGATATTTTTTTTTATAAAACTAGTGTGCTAATATCTTTCCAAAAAATAGTGTTTTAATTGTTTTTCTATTTTTACAATTTTATATAAAAAAAAGTTGAAAACTTTGATCTGACATTTTTACTCAGTTTTTTTCTGCGAAGGATGAAAAATGTTAACAAAATCTAGATAAAATAAAAAAATGTAAATAATTTGTTTCCTTACCTTAGCTGCCTGTAGTTGTGAAGGTGTCGCAAAGAGATTCAACGGATTGGTAGTTGTGAAGAAATGCTAAAAATTTAAATTATCATTTCTTAAATCTTTATTTTAATGTCTTAGATCTAATGATCTAAGCACAATTTTCACTTTTCAATTGCTAGTAATTTCTCAGTGAGAGACAAACAGAAAATGTCCGATAACAAAAATCATTTTCAGAAAAATTAAGAACTGAGTCATTCGGTCATTTTGTTGCAAATAGAACGTGGCCTGAGTTGGGAACTTTTGAGTAGGATACTCAAAATCCCTGTAATTTGATCCCGATATTCACTACGGGAACTTTTGATTATTTGTAAAATTATCTATACGTCCGTATCACGTGACCAGAACTCCCACCAATGGCAGTGCAGTATTATTGTCACGTGTCTCCGTCTGTAGTGTATCACGTGACCAGTATTCGTGATACGGACGTATAAATAATTTTACGTATAATTATGTATATTATAAATTTTGATTAGGATAATCATAATCTCTTTTACTTGATCCCGATTATAACCGTGGGAACTTTTGATTTGATAATAATTATACATAATTACAAGCAAAATTATTTATACGTCCGTATCACGTGACCAGAACTCACACCAACGGCAGCGCAGTATTATTGTCACGTGTCAATTTTACGCAAAATTATGTATAATAATTATCAATTATATCTATTAAAAATGAAAAATTATCAAATTCAAATAATAATAGGAGCAAACTTAAGTTGCTTAGACTCCTTTGAGATATCATCGTTTTCAGATTAGTTGCGTATTTGCTGATAATGATCTGTTTAAACCTACTATTTTTATAGAAAATTTAGTAAATACCGATTTTTGTATAAATTTGACACAGTTTTATATCAATTTCTCGAGACAGGAACATCAGATAGAACTCTCATGGGTCTTAATCAAATCCTGTACGATACTTAGGTTTCAGCCTTTACCCCTTTCATTTATCCTTTACATTCCCTTTAAACTGTACATTTTCATGTACACTGTACTTTGTACTGTTTAATGTGCAGGATACAGTTATATTTACAATATCAGTGCTTCAGTACAATAATACATACCTGAGCTCTGCCCCAGTACGAATTCTGATCCCATCTTGGCTGATCGAGATTTATCATATTATCTGATAAAAATTTAGAAAATAATTACTTTTGCTTTTTTTATAACCTTCACATCTCTCCAGACACATGGAAAGCGCGTTTGAATATAATGAACACTGATCAGAGCTGAAAACTTTAGAATGGTATATCCTTAATCCCGATCGGTTAATTAAGCTGGAGATTAATAACAAGAGGAGGACAACCATTTAATCAGGAGAAAAAGAGTGGATCAAGCATTAATCCTGATATTCACCATTTAAACTTCCCAGCTCAGATTAAATACACTAAAGCTTCTTTTACTCTTTGCCATGTGAACCTTTTGATAACTGCTTATTATTAATACTCCCTTACTATTTGGTATTCAATTGCATAAAGTTTGCATATTCACAATATAATAAAATTTATAATGTTTTTGAAATGTCAATTGTGGGATGGGGTGGGACCGTGGGGTGCGGGAGCGTTGGATGACTTCTAACATACAATAAAACGAAGCGAATTTACGCATCTGAATGAAGCAACATGAAGAAAGTATGAAAGTTAGTTGAACAGTTGGAAGTAATGAAAAGGGGAGTATAAGAAAAATAGCTAAATAAGTAGTAGAGCTTTAAGAAGTAAATAAAGAATCACAATAGTCAATTATGAAAAGGTTTAAGAAGATGTTACTGAGCACCAGGAATTAATGATTAAAAGGAGGAGGAATAGCTGGCGGTAGACTAGGGTAGACTGTATCCCTTGCTGCTGGTAGACCAGGATAGACTGTATCCCTTGCAGGCAGGAGATGTGTAGCTAGAACCTCTTCATGGTTTCCATAATCAGTGAACAGTACCACAGCAGTATTAGCTCCTGTACATCAACATCAACATCAACATCAACATCAACATCAACATCAACATCAACATCAACATCAACATTGAAACTGATTAAAACGTAAAAAATTTAACCCCTTCGCTATATATTTCTTAAATCTCAAAAAAGTTTCAAGAAAAATAATATAACCTTTATAAGATATTTTCTAACAAATATAAGGGCGTAATTAAAAACAAACAATGAAAAAAACATGCTGAAGAGACAAAGAAAATATTAAAAATAATTAAGTACAAAGGAGGAAATTCTATTAAATTTTTTATCACGTAAAATGAACCAATTAATCGAACACGAAATCAGTTTCTGGAGAATATATTTAAGCATCAAAGAAGAAATTTTCTCCAGGATTAATAAAAGTTTCTAACAAATGTATAAAAAGCCTAAAGACACATTCTAGGATTTTAAAGGACTACTACGTAGCTTGAGAACTGAGACTGATAAAACGCGTAATATTTTTAATAATTTCCTATGACCAGAATATTTCATTGATTTTTTATGTGAATGATGGATCCCATGTCAGGCTTCGACATCCGTCTTGTGTTTACATTAGCGCCCAGAGACAGTACACTGCAGTACTAAAGATGTGTACACTTCTGAAATGACTTTCCTTGCCTTACATCCTTGCAATAGAAGATGAAAAATTGAACATAAACTGACCCCCCCAACACAATTTAGTACTTATAACTAAAATATTTTCTCCGATTCGACGAATAAAACATAATAATTTTCTAAAGCGCACTTTTTTTCAGATCCCTACCTTATAAACACAATCTATATAACATAATTTTATTTTGTTTGATCCGCTAAGAAAATTATTTTGAATTCGATTTCAAAAAAGTGAGCCCCATAAAACTGGAGTGTTAACTTAGAAAGACGATTGTTCAACTAAACCTATGCTTTGAAATAGTCGAATATACGTTAAAAAATTTTAATTTTAAAGTCATTTTTCCGGCTTCTGGAGTTACTGTATATATTTCAACGTAGGATTTCTGAAATGTTGTATTCCTATTCCATAGTTTTCTGTGTCTCATTTTATCATTATACAGTTTGAATTTATTTAAGAATTAATAATCATCATTATCATAGTTAAAATATTAAACAAACATAGTTAATTCACTTTTTTACTAAGTAATTTAGAAAGAATTACTATTGAGACACCACATTTCTCTACACATTCCACAATACAACTCACCACTCTGTAGACGGATTCAGTGTAGATATTCAAGTGTAAATACACATTCCAAAGTCTACAGATGTTTCGTATTGAAAGCAAGTGAACCGGGGTAAATAATAAGCATGGAAATGTATTGTATATAAACATTCCTTTACATACCTCTATATTATACTGTGTTCCGGGGTGGGGATAAGTCGTTTTACTTACCTGTAGTTTGATATATCGCATGTTACTTTTGTTTCGAATTAGGCCAAATTTGAATTAAAATATATTTAATTATATTTTTTCCTAACTGCGCGCGCGCTGGGACTTGAAGCATTAGGGCGCAAACTTTTCAGGAATTTCTTGTTTAATTGCGTCCGGGTGCAAGTTCATTTAACGATCTATAGCATGTGAAAACGTAACAAAAAGCAACACATTTGCTCCGATCTATTTGAAATTGCATTTTCAGTTACAATACATATTTGTGAGTTCGCATGCGAAAAATCAGCGTCCTACGACAATGCTAAGTTATGTTTAACCACTGTTTAAATTTTCCGGAGAGTAATGGGAGAACACGGCGCCAGCGTGCGCCTGATCCTGTCTTGGAAGTGAATGAAGCATATTTTGGCTCGATTAATTGAAACATCTTTGAAAGTTAGAGAGTCAGGGGCGCTTTGATCCCTGGACTAAAGACTTAAAGCATTTTTAAGTGATAGCGTCAGGGGCGCTTAGATCCCTAAGTTTTGATTTTCAATTATTTTGAAATTATTGTTTTACTGTGTTATAATGGCTGAAAGAAAAAAGAATTACCCGTGTATTAAGTGCAGTAATCATGTTAAGAAGAATGATAAATCTGTGCAGTGCACTCTCTGTCGTCTCTGGGTCCATACGACCTGCCAAGGGATAACAGATGAGGGCTTTAAGATTTTAGAAAATGCTGAAAAGTATGGAGTGGAGGGGATGTACTGGGCGTGTACCTCCTGCTCTGCTTTTTCAGCAACCTTTCATCAGAGCTTACAGGAGGTTAATCGACGTCTCGATTCCATTGAGGTGTCAGTAAAGGAGAATGCTGATTCCTGTGGTGAAGTTAAGAGTAGTATGGAGGCTATTAAGGCTGACATTGCCACTCTTAAAGCTAATTCATCTACTAAGGATGAATCGGTCAATAATGCTGAGATATATAGTGAAATTCGTGAAAGAAAAAATCGCGAATTGAATGTACTGGTTCATAACCTGAAGGAACCATCTGGGTCAACCAGAGATAGCCGGATGAAAGAAGATAAGGAGGCATTTGTGAACTTATGTTCAAAGATTAATGTTGATCTTAATCCATCCAAAGTAAAGTTTATGACCAGGTTGGGGAGGTATGACAAAGATGGAAGTCGTCCACTTCTGGTGGGCCTCAAGGAAGCTACTATCAAGGGTGATATTCTCGACAATGCTCATATGCTTGTAAGGAAACCTGACCCTTGGAGCAAAATCAATATCAACCCTGATCTCACAAAACAACAGCGTAAGGAGGAGCAAGAGCTATATAACAAGGCTGAAGAACTTAACAACAATCTCTCTAAAACTGATAAAAAAAACATCATGTACAAGGTGGTGGGGAGGAAGGGCGAGAAGAGGTTGGCCAAGGCTGCACCTTATCTGACCAATCCTTCCACAAGTCAAGCTTCCAGGGGAGGAGGGAGGGGGAGAGGAGGCCGAGGGAGGCCATAGAGGATATGACATTGAGAAGTCAATTTAAAATATTATACTCAAATGTGCACTCAATAGTGAACAAAATTGATGAATTAAAATTTGTAGCAAATGATTTAAAACCTGATTTTATTTGTTTATGTGAAACATGGACAAATGATGATATTTTAGATGCGTTTCTTAGTCTAAATGGTTATGATATCTTATGTAGAAAAGACAGAAAAGATACCCAAAGAGGAATTGGAGAGGGTTTGCTTATTTATGTTAAAACTGATATCAATGCCACTGAATTTAAATCTGATTTAATTGACTCTTATAATCAATGTAGTGTAATTTCTGTTAAAACTGAACAAGAACAGATATATATAGCTTCATTTTATCGACCCCACAATTTATATGATGAGAATGATATAGAAAAAAATAATAGACAACTATGTAATGTCATGAGAAGTTTGCCTAAACCAATTATTATAACTGGTGATTTTAATTATTCCGACATTAGCTGGACCTGTATGTCCGGTTCTAACAAAAGTAAAGATTTTATTGAAACTGTTAATGATTTGTTTTTATCCCAACATATTGAATTTGCTACACATAAAAGTGGTACTATGCCTGATTTAGTACTGTCTAGTAACCCTAATTTTATCATGTCTGTTGAAAATTGTGAATATCTTGGATATAGTGATCATTTGATGATTATGTTAAGTATTAAAGTCAGTATTGTCACAAAAAAATTTTAAAAAAATGAAAAAGTAAAGGACTGGAAAAAAGCTGATTTTCACAGTATAAATGATGAAATTGCTAGTTTAAACCGGAATAAACTTTTTGTAAACCTTGATACCCAAAACTGTTGGGATACTTTTAAAAGTAAGTTAGATGAAATAGTTGCAAAAAATGTTCCATTTAGAAATGTAAAAAAAGATTCAAAACCATTATAGATGCAAAAAAATGTGATGAGATTAGTTCGTAAAAAACGTAGGCTGTGGAAAGTTTATACAAAAACTAAAGATTATGAGCACTTGCAAGCATACAAAAATGTTGAAAGTAATGTAAAAAAAAGCTGTAAAAAATGCCAAAAAGAAATTTGAAAAAAAAACTAGCCAAAGATGCCAAAAAAACCTAGAGCTTTTTATAAGTATACTAACAGTAAAAAGAGCAATAAAAGTTCTATTGGACCACTGAAACTGAATGATGTCTTAATAGATGAAGACAAAGATATTTCTAAAAATTTGAATGATTTTTTAGTAGTGTTTTTACAACAGAAGATTTACTGAATATACCATATTTATCTCCAATAAAAGATGACATTTTAAACTTGGAAAATATGCAATTTGAACATTTGAAAATTTCAGCCAAACTGAAAAAACTTAAACCTTTTTCAGCACAAGGACAAGACAAAATTAGTTCAAGACTTTTGATTGAAGTGGCGGACACAATTTGTGTACCCCTAGCAATTATTTTTGAGAAATCCATGGCTGAAGGTGAAGTTCCTAGTGATTGGAAAAAGGCAAATATAACGCCTATTTTCAAAAAAGGGTCTAAATTTCAATGTGGTAACTATAGACCAGTATCCTTAACTAGTATTATATTTAGAATCATGGAATCTCTAATTAGAGACGAAATTGTGAATCACCTTTCCCTTAATAATCTGATTTTTTCGAGTCAACATGGTTTTATGGCTAGAAGATCATGCCTGACAAATCTATTAGAATATTTAGAGGTCTTAACTAGCCTTATAGATAGCGGTCAATCTGTTGACATAATCTATTTAGACTTTGCCAAGGCATTTGATAAAGTTCCACATGTTAGACTTTCCACTGTACTTAATGCTCATGGTATATCTGGCGAAATTTTGAACTGGATTAATGCCTGGCTTACAGGTCATGAACAAAGAGTTGTACTGAATAAAGAAGAGTCAGGCTGGTTGCCTGTAACCAGTGGTGTTCCTCAAGGTTCAGTCCTTGGCCCCACACTGTTTATAATCTTCATCAATCCTCTTGATCTTGTTGTAGATAATCTTTCCAGTATCTTGTCTAAATTTGCAGATGATACTAAGGTGGGTTGTGAAGTAAATAGTAAAGAAGATTGTCTATTATTACAAGAGGTCATAGACTGGCTAATGATCTGGGCAGAAGAGTGGCAAATGGAGTTTAATGCATGAAAGTGCAAAGTCTTGCATCTAGGGAAAAAGAATAAACAGTTCAGCTACACCATGGGAGGTCATGCTCCAGGAGGTCAGATTCTTGAAGTAACTAAGTATGAAAGAGATATTGGAGTGTTAATATCAAATGATTCAAAACCTTCTCTTCAATGTGCGTCAGCTGCTCAAAAGGGAAACCAGCTCTTAGGTAGAATGGCCAGATCCTTCTCCTACAGAGACAAGTATACTTGGATCAGGCTTTACAAAGTATATGTACGACCTCTTCTAGAGTACTGTGTTCAGGCTTGGTCACCTTGGCTTAAATCAGATATTGAGCTGCTTGAGTGTTCAAAAACGAGTTTTAAAAATGACTTCAGGCCTCCATAGTGCCTCATACCTTGATCAATTAAAGGAGGTCAACATGACCACCTTAGAAGAAAGAAGAATAAGAGGGAATTTAATCCAGACTTAGAAGATTCTCCATAAGCATGATAATGTAAAAGAAGGTACATGGTTTACAAGGTCTGTAGACACAGCTCAACGAGAAACAAGGTTTACTACATGCAATATGAACCTCAACTCAATTATAGGAAAAACTTCTTTAGCTTGAGAGTTATTAAAAGATGGAACAGCTTGCCAATAGACATTAAAAATGCTACCTCATTGATTAGTTTTAAGAATATGTATGACAAACATATTTCTTCAATGTGATAGGTGTCAGGGGCGCCGAGATCCCTGGTGAAGGTGTCAGGGGCGCCGAGATCCCTGGTTTAACTTAATGCACTATCAGTAGAAACAAAAAAGATATATTGACTCGCTGAAAATGTCACAAAAGTGATCTCCCAGCGAA